CCGGTCAGGAGGGCTCCGCCTACCTGCAGTGGATGTGGCCGAATTGGCCATAGGATTACTTCATGTAAAAATCGTATTATCTAGTTAAAATAATGGGTGTTAGTTGAGATAGTCAATTTTGAAATTTTCTAATGGGGTTAGGTGGCCATGGTGACCGGGAATTACGTTACTCAAAAAGCCATATGACCCATGACCCTCACAACCGAAGGCTCTTTAGTTGTTTAAGTTTATCCACATGATGATCATTCATGTAACGGGTAATACACGTAGTTACTCACAATGAAGATTTTAGAAAATATGTTAGGTTAAGAGAATTCTTATTATTCACGTAGCCAGTTATATTTCTAGCTTCATTAAGTTTAGTAGCTGTACATTTCATGAACGGAGAGCCGGGATTCTCTAGCTTCTTACCGTCAGTGCGCTAACGTTCCTGTGCCCACCGGGTTCATAGACCAGATCGAGATTATCCCGACAAGGATGTGTGAAAAGAGGAAAATAATGAAATTTGCAGGACAAAGGTCTCCTAAATAGCTAAGCGTAGAAGGCATGAGTATATATAGAATGCGAGTTTAGTATACGGCTAGAGAGGTCTGACTGTGTGGTATTAGGATACTGCCTGTCAGGTTCGCTGTATGAGACAAGAGTTCTAACAGCGCCCACGGCACTGCTGGCACAGGAAGCGAAGAGAGAGAGGGAGACTGAGTCAATTGGTCTATCTAGGAACAGGAAAACGAGCCTGCTTCATGCAGGGCCAAAGAGGACGACAAACCCTGCAAACCCTATCGAGGTCAAAGGGATCGAGTCATCAAGTTCCTTATTTTTATTGAGCAAATCCAAGGTTTTAGTCCACAATCTTACTTCCAATTCCGGACTGTACGCCCATGCTGTAAAGATATACTCTATAAGTCAGGATAGAGGCCTGTCAATCAGGTAGGAGAAAGGAACCAAGTCAATTGTTCAGAAAGGTCAAAGACTGTTTCTTGCGGAGCGTGAAGCCTCCTCATGGAGAGTTGATTTATATACAGGCTCGTCGTCCAAAACAGGAAGGAGATTCATCATAGAACATGGGGGGAAGCGGGGCAGAACGTGTGGCCTCTACAGGGAGCTCCCCTGCATGAGATCACTGGGTACTGATACCGAGGCGCCAGCGGATAGCTGCCGGAAGGCCGCCGATCTGTTAGCTATGAGCCTGAGGCACCCAAGTGTGAATAACCTCATGTCAGGTGTATCATAACATGAACTGTATTAGGTAGCCAGGATAGTTAGCAGGCTAACTAAGCCCTATCCTATGGGGGTGATTGGGATTTAGCGTATCCTAATCATTTTGTATAGCTAGTAATAATAACTAGTCACATAGCTAGCCGTAATGGCTATTTGTGATATTTATTCGTGGTGACCACTGGAGATAGCCCTGTTACTGAAGATCACCGAGCTGATAGCGATTATTCTTAATCGTTACTTGTGATGATGTTATCCGTAATGGTCTAGCCATAGGTGTAGGTACCAATATGTGAATGTTACGATACATGCCTGGGTCACATGATCATACACTTAGGCCAAAAAGACCACTATATCCGCGATCAGCGGATATGACCCAGGAGCCAATATATATAGTAGCGCACTGTAATATTGGTATTGTGTAACAGTGAAGCTTTGCCTACCCGTGTCTGTAATTATTCTGCAACAGCAGTGGCTACCTATACTTCTTGTAGAGAGATACACCCTGTAGTCAATGCATATGGTCAGGAAATGAGGGAAAAGGATCTTGAGAGACTAGGTGCATAATAATACCTTACCGGTATCATAAGGCGGTCTTCTATTTTATTATTAGGCGGGTACCCGCGGGAGTCAGTTCCATGGTTAGTACTTTGCAGGTAAATTGTGAGCACTGTGCAGTTATTCCTCATGTCTCTCCCATCACACGAGCTTGCCTATCATAGCCATAACTGGCACCTATCACTAAAAGACAAATATTTAGTTCATCAAACGGCCCGACTCGAGGTTGTCGAGGGTGTCGAGGATTAAACCCGTGCCAGGCTAACGTCCCCCAGCATGAAGCAGGCCTAAATATACGAGCAAAGGTCCTAGAGCATATTGCGTTGTCTCTTTGCGAAAGAAGATCCTGGCGCAATCATTTTTAGATTCAGACATGTCGGGTAAATTGATGGAGCATCTTTTTGGCCGAGGATGTCACCTCACTAATGGGAGTCTTCAGAGTGTCTCAGCAGCGCGGTACAGCTGGTGGACAATGGCCGGCTGACTCTCAAAAAACGAGCATGTGTTACTACTAATCTACTAATTCCCGGGCTGTCCAATCTGCGTCATCATAACCCCAGTTTTCACCAAGACTTAATTAAAGCCATATTTACCCCACGGGGTTACCTCGTCGGGAAAATACCCTGCTTGGCTATTACACGTGGTATTTGTGGACTCAGGCTATCAAGGAATGCAGATCATACCCAAGATTATCGGTAAAGCCCCATCCATCTACGGGTCGTTTGAGAGTTGCAGATACGTAGTTGATGGCTGCAAAACAACCAATAGGATCATTTACATCCCGATCATACTCATGTATTCCAGCTTCCCATGCTTTGCTCCTCTTGACCTGACCCTGAAAAGCATAAATATCGACCTTGGGACTTGCTTCATTGTCCAGTTTTACTGCCTTCCAGCCCTGCAATTTGCCAAAGGTGACGTTGATCCGCAATGGGTTGGTTTCACCGTTTCATCTCTACCTCTCTTATCCTCCTGAGTGGGCTTGGCCGCTCTGTCCATGGCGCCACCTCCAGCACTTACTACTTCAAGCACTTCAGTACTTCTGGTAGTATCAACCCATGGTACAACAACGACAACTCGTGGGGGGTGTCTGCCCCAGGCGGCACCGGATTTGTCGTGATGGTTACTGGGGAGGACTGGGGCACTTGGTCGCCAGTTCACACTCTGCCTAAGAAGATCAATGATCTCAACCCGGGACATAAAACCTGGTTTAGCCAGACTTCTGCTCCTGCAGCGGGCCACGGATATGACGCTTGGTAAGCTATTGTTTTCTTGGAAATTAGTTCGAGGACTTATTCAATTGATCGAAATAGTTACGATATCTTCATTGACCCAAGTTATGCGCCAACTAACCGCAATGGGAAATATGAGATCATGATTTGGGTAGCCTATCAGCTCCCTAATACTCCTCTATCCGATCACTATGATTCTAAGGGTGTTGCGGTTCCGTGGGCACAAAATGTGAACCTTGGAGGCAAGGCATGGGATGTTTACTTATACCAGTGCGTTATGCTACATTCATATCAGCCTTTGACACTACTGATACATAGTTGATAGTTGGCCTACCGGCGATCTGACTATGAGTTACGTCGATCCTACTAACTCCGGTTGGTTCTCGGGCAGTTTATCGCCATTCTTCGAGCATGGCATTAGCAATGGATGGTATAGCGGGGAAGACTACTTGACTAGCGTTATGGCAGGTTGGGAATTCCAGCAGGGTGAATACTCGGCTAGTTCGTGGGGAGCGGTTGGATTCTGATGTGGGACGATGGATAGGAAGTAGTTGGCTGCGAATATGTAGTTTGTTAAGTTGTCTTTCCCTGTGAATGTTTTGGAAACCGCTTGTCTTAAACGTGATTGCGGTTACGAAGAATTGACTAAAACTCATATTCCAACTTTCAAGTGCTGCCAGTCACCAAAGGCTATGGGGCATTTGCTTTTGTAGCGACTCCCCATCCAACGGTAAATCTACAACTTCAGGGTCTAGTAGCCCTTATATTCGTACTGGAAGATATTCAATTCAGATATCAAACGCTAAGCCCAGGACTAGGTGAATTTACTCGCACTGAATATAATAATAAAGGCTCCGGTTGCCTGATTTCGACCGTTGGCCCCTTTTCCCGGGGGCCGTATTATAATAGGTCTCGAATCGTTAGGCGTTTTTAAATCATTTTGAATTACTTGAAGCATTGTAAATATTTGAGATCGTCTTGTATATTTGAGTGAACCTGTTTTACTTGGTACCTTCATATACATACTTCCAATCTGAAAGTGTTACATTAGCCTCGGATTATTGTGAGAGGTGTGAGACCGCAAGCAGAGTTTGGAGACCTCCTAAGCCTCTTCGAAAGAGCTTTCTGTTTCAAATATCCGTCCTGTGCCATGGCGTTGGACAGTCGGCAGCCAAGGACTATCTACCAACCCGGTTGCCAGAATGCAAAAATTAGACATAATCTATTCACCCAGGGCAACAAGGCAAAGTTTTCTCTACTCTCAACGACCATTTCCGAGCACATATTATACAATAGATATTTCGAGTCAACCTAAGGCCTTTCCCATCTCCAGACAACAGTGAAGTGACTTGACCTAGAATGAGAAGTGAGATTATTAAGCTTTGCCAAAGTTGAAATACTCGAGTTCGTTCGAATAATGCGAATACTCTGCTTGGTCCGCACCTACGGAGGGCTGTCTGCTTTGAGTAGAGATGAGCGGGCGGCTTCCGGGAGTTTATGGATGGTCCGCCTTGGAACCACGGACTGACGTGGTTCAATACGTTGAGAGATGAAGTGTTCGAATGCTGCATTAAGGCGTCCATGGATTGGGCCAAGTTAGACGTAACCAGGATGTACACATGTACACCCCACTAACCTGGCTTGTGGTAAGACCATCTCAAACGAGTGTAATTAAGGAATAGACCTTCAATCAATTAATTAGCCCCAGATACTTAGTTCCACCTGTTCTCCGCGCCTCGTGTTTACCAGAACTCAGAGATCGGATATTCACTGTGGATATCATCCGAGAGTCTTAGCCGTGCACCACAAAGCTATAAATGTGAGCAACCCTTCGATTTTCTGTGCCGTTCTGCTTGCAAGCCGAGCAATTTATTCCCAACACGTGCAGTGTCTGAAATTCACTCCCAAGCACCATGCGCATTTTTCAATATGTCCTAGCCTCGCAACTTACCCCTTCGCCTGTGCAGCTTCTGCATTATCTGAGAGGGAGTGATGTCTGAGAGGGAGTCATGCGGGCTATGGGATACAATTCAGGCAGACCCTATACCATTTACCAAAACCTGTGGGGTACTAAAGCCGCTACATCTGGATGGCAGTGATCTGGCTTAGATTATCTGTCCGGAGACCTCGTTTCATGGAACACTGTGTGGGACTGGCAGGGAGGTCTAGTCATCATCAAGTCTTACGCCAATGTTGAGTTGAAATTCAGCGCAAGACAATTGGGTTCAATTTCAAGCATCCCCACAACCTGGCGATGAGGGTAAGAATGTCCACTTCCCCCCGTTCTTTTTATTTGTCCTAATTTTTTTTTTGCAACTTTCGTGTCTCACGTACTTACTATTATTTTGACAGTTATACCCGCTCAAATATCGTTGCCGACGTGGCATATAATATCTTTACCAGCAACTCCCCCGATGGCCCAGGGGCATATGAGATCATGATCTGGGTTGCTGCCCTCGGTGGCGCAGGCCCAATCAGCAGCACAGGCAAGCCTGTTGCCACAGTCCAGATTGCTAGAACCACCTAGGACCTCTCCAAGGGGCCGAATTCCCCCTGGAAAGATTTCCGTTTTGTGGCTCAAACCGAGCAGACTTCTTTTAATTCTGATCTTCTCGACTCCTTTGAATATTTGATCCACAACCAGGGAATGCCTTCGACATGGTATTTGAGCCAGATCGCTGCTGGTACTGAGCCGTTCTCGGGTTCCAACGCCCAGTTGACGACCTCAGACTACGTTCTCAGTATTCACTGAGCCAGTATGGATGTTTTGACTGCGGGGGCTGTTCATATGGCCCAACCTTGCTTTGGTTATACTACTCCATTTTCAACTATCTTTCTCCTCCTGTATCCCTCTTTTGTCAGGCAGAATAATATCACGTCTTAGTGGCGATTCTTTGCCCGGCAGGCAGCTATGCTCGGTGAATTATCGCCTCCAGTTGCACCTCAATTCTACGGAACAATAGTGTAGATTCCCCAGGATATTGCAAGGAGCACAAGGGAGCTCCGTCCTCGTCTGTACTTGCTGCTCTTGGTTCCGAGCTTCTACGCTCAAGGCTACTGTGGCAGCCCTGGAGAGAGGGCTTGTGTATTACGGGGCTTCATGGCATACCCACCCGGAGAAGCTACGCAAAGCGGGCCAGAGTAAGAGACAGGGCACGACTGTGGCTAGACTGTGGTGATGTGAAAGGCTGAATGTACAAATTCAAGGAGCAAGGAAACCAAACGCAAGGAGGCAAAAATAGTTGTTGCTCGGTTCGCCAGTTTGGGGATTTATTTAACACGTTTCGACGGACTTCAAGTGCGGCAGGGAATAGTTAGCGGCCAGGCCGGCACATGCTGAGTAAGCCGATAAAGTACCATACGATATATTTACCGCCTTGCTTTCCACTTTATACCTCATAGGCAAGGTAAGGCTTGAATTTCCCCCAAAGCCTACCAGGCCTACTGGTGATGCACGCCTTAAGCCTCATCCACCTCAGAACCGAAAGCATATACCTCCAGCAGGGGTCGCAAGACTGGCGATTTGAACACGGAAGCATGGGTTGGAGCAGGAGGATTAATCGCAAGGAGCACGCCGGGCCGATCGCGAGGAGTTGGAGAGGAACGCTTGTAGAATATCGGGTTGTGCTGTAGAATATGATCAATATCAGTTGCTCGGTTTGAAGGGGGTTGGCCACAATATTAAGCTCGTTAATCGACCAATCAGAGTGCTTCAATCAAGAAGGAATCATCAGATATCATTGGATGAATATCAGGAGGGGATGGTCTACGCTGGCTACGCTGCGATCGATTGTCAAAAGGTCGAAGTCTACATAGAGACGGTGGCCAGAATTCTACTTACTCAGCATGTGACGGCCTGGCCGCTATTCCGTGCCGCACTTCAAGGACCTATTATAGCTTAGACTGGAGAAAATAAAGATGGAGTTATGGGGCTAAAACGGCTAAAATCAATGGGGTAAAGAGAAGTGTGGACCTGGAGGTACAGATGACAAGCAACGCCTATTACCCCAGATCTTCGTTCGTCCGACTCCGGTGGAGAAGGTATTGAGGAAAGGCTCCTATGCCCGGACATGCAACATGTTCCAATCGGTGTGGGAGGACCGAGTTGTATAATAGGCAATAGTTGGTATAGTGTATTGTGGAGAAAGCGAACAATCTCGGGCATTAGCCGAGCTGCTCTGACGACTACGATTTAGAGTTGTCAATTATCAATGTAGCGCTCGTGTTGCGGGTTTGAAGAGATCTAAATGGACTGAGTACTCGGCCTCGAGGCCGCTGAATTACTTCCATTGGCTGGACAGTCCCGCTTTACATCCACATCTACGGAGATTGAACCCCGCTCCGCATTTAATCGTCCTCATACTCCCCGCAATTCAACGGGTAAATAAAGGATAAAGTCGTCGGCCCCGTTCTAGGTATGGAACTATATCGTTCTGTATAAGTCGATGTGGCTCCTTGGAAACTTAGCAAGATTACGTGCAACAATCTTTGCTTATTCTGGCGGGAGGAGATGTCCCGACAGTATGGTATGGAACTTGGAAGGAACATTATTTAAAGGGTAACCCTGTTAGCACAACCTCAAAACCCTGGCGGCACGACCTTTTGCCTGATTTCTGCCTGACTTTTGCCAAGCCTTACATACCATACGATTACTAATTTAACCACCCTCTTTCGTCTTATACACACACACATCCTTTCTTTCTTCTCTTCTATCTTCTCCTACTAGGCCTATCACATGACCTCCTACTACTATAATCATATGACCTTAAATATATTCAGGCAATGCACCGGGGGGATACACGATTTTTTTCGCACCCCCCTAAGTACCCGAAATCTTGATATTTTTCGGTCGGATCTTTTACATCTTTTAATCTGATAGCTGGTTCTACCTAAATGTCATATAATATCCTAGAATTATCACGTGGAAGACCCTTAACCTATAGGGTTAGGTTAAGCCTGGATTTTTTTGATGGGGGATGCCAAGGCTAAGGCCTGCGGGTAGGCTAAAGGATATGTGTGTGTAAGAAGAAAGAGGGTGGTTGAATTGGTATTGTAAGGCATGAAAGGCTTGGCAAAAGTCAGGCAGAAATCAGGCAGAAATCAGGCAAAAAGGTCGTGCCGCCAGGGATTTGAGGTCGTGCCAACAGAGTTACCCTATTTTATTAGTTAACTCTTCTTTTAAAAGTATACTAAAATTATAATACTAACTGTTTTCTGTGCGTTTTTAGGTATATTTATCGAATTCTTAAAGCCATTTAAATATAATATCTGTCAGCATATAAAGAATGAGAAATACATCGGACCCTGAACAGCGCGAACATATATATCTAAGAAAGCTGAATATGCCGCCTATAGTGCACTGTTGGCCTATTAGATATATCATGTGACCGTTCCGTCCTTCGATCAACTATCCTAGTCCGACAATATCTGAATTAATATAGCTAGATATGAGATAGTGGACACTTGGCGAACCAATCAGCTGCGGGGGCGTAAATAACTGGACAATTTTCCTCGACAGTATTTGTACTCTAGATATTTGGATTGTTGGCTAATATGGGATGCGTGTAGGCGGAGATCTAGCGGGTTTGGAAGGCGCTCATTGGAGTTGATCGGACAATGATCAGCATTTTACCATCTTCTCCCAACTCCTGAAAAGCAGCTAAGTATCTGAAAACCACCTTAGCTGAATTGAGCGGCATTACCCTTCGCAGATTGGACAGTGGCCTGCTGCACAGTGCGGGGTGGTGGTAATTGGGCGGCTTTGGCATTCTCTCATTGGAGTGGATCGGATGAAGAATGGTGGCATTTACTATCGTCTTGTGTACTGTACTTCTGCGGACATCAAGTATCCGAAACTAATTTAGCTGGTCTCTCCATCCATCAAGTTCTACAGCTCCTCATTTTCGGGATTTGCTGAGCACGGTTGCAGAAAGTACTGTTGACACTTTCGAATCCTGGTGGGGTTTTCTCGTTTTCCTGACTTGGCCTGTCCTCATTTCCGGTCCGAAGAGCGAGTCAACTGATCCACTCCCGGATTCCAGGACCACCTGTCTACTTGGAAGTAAGATTCAATTATCACATCCAATTCGTGAAATAGTAGCTCTCCGTAGAGGAATACGGTATACAATTGGGGAACCGTAGGTCCAGTAAAAAATGCCGCTATACAACCGCTGAACCGGGCTATCAAGGCCAGCGGTGCTGATCCCTGAGGGACCTGATTCTTCAATTAAAACGCGACGAATGGGCGAATCACGCTCTGATCTAGATTGACTCAGACTTAGTATATAAGATGAGCCGTGTTTGATCCATGAACTGAAGCTCTAAAGCCTATGCGAGCTAGTGGCACAGTATGGATTAAGTATGGTTTACGTTACTAAAGCGCACTTGTAGTGGTCGTAAGGTAGAACAAGGCTGTTCAGAATTATAGCCCTGCTTTGTATAGTCGTGTTCACTTCACTTTGTAGATTTCGTTTTCTGGTTGTTATCTCGAAATATGTAAAGAGCGATAGTATGGGCGAGAATCGCAGCCCAAATTCAGACTAATCAACAAAGAAAATCTCGAAAATCCCTATTCTCCACTCTCGAAGAGTTGGGGTTAGTGGCCTCCGAAAGCTTGTCGTCACCGGGATGGGCGAACTCGGACAGGAATCGAAGCATCCATTGATCCAACCGGAACGTGGTGTCCATTGAGACCCGGCAGGCCTGGTGGAATGCCCGAAGCCGAAGGAGACACAAGTCTAACGTGGGCCAGAAGGTTCGAAGATGCTGTAAGATCTCGAAATTGCGCTCCAGCCGTATCCGCGCAATCTTAACATCCTCACCGTCAACACCGAAGAGCAGAATATACAGTTGGACAGTGGACGAGACCACCAGAATGTGGCCAACCATACTGTACAGCACCTCACAGTTCGGATTGGTCTTGGCAGTATAGAGAAGCTCACAAAGATTGGCGGCATATGTCTTACACTTGTTCGCATAAAAATGAGTGTTCGGCACTGACTCATGACGGTCCTGTTGGAGAAACCGATAGAAGAGAAGCTGCCCGTAATGGTAGTATCCGATATGCAGAGCGACAAACGTTCGGCCTAGCCCTTCGGAAGCGTACCGGGCCATATTCCCTGGTGTATCCCGCATGTACTCGGGCAGAGCAGCGTGCCACTCATCCAAATGATAAGATGCGTTCCTAACGGCAGTTTCTAGCGCGGCGCCATCGGCTTGTCCAATCACGGCCATTTTATTGATCCCGTAGACTTCGGCCAATATTTGATTCAATTTAATCATTTGCGCAATTAAAGATGCCTCGGGACGATGCGAGATCTTGACCGAATTTGTGCCTTCTCGTTTCAATTGAAGGAATACTCTTTCATCCATCGGCAAAGCGACATCATCCCGATGTACTGTAAGTCGAGGAAGACCCAGGCCGGTCGATGACCAAACGTCAGTTAAGCAAAGTGTCCACCAGACTGTGTTCATGCTTTAGTATCTTATATCGTCGCTTTGAGAGAGGCGGAAACGGGAACAGACCTCGAAGGTCGATTTCCTTATCAAGAGGAGTAACTTCGGTTCGATTAGGTAGGTCGAGGAGCTGCGCGATCCGACAGGCGGCCGCGTAGTAGACTGACTCTACCGCGGAATCCCCTTCGGCCACAGCCGCTGCGCCGAGCAAAATGCATGCTTGGACTGTGGTCAAAGAGACACTGTCGAGGTCTAAAAACTGTCTGCACTTAGTGATATATACCCGACCCCTTTCACGGGCGTCGGAGCCCCGAAAGAAGAGGTTGCTTGAAAACCTGAATCGGATCAGCATGTTCATAAGGTCTCCAAGCTAAATCAATGCCAGACCTTGCAGATAGGGCCATCATCCCGTAGAGCAGGACGACCGGCGCTCGATTGTCCAGCACATCCTGAATCATACTCGGTTTGTGGAACAAAGAATGGAATTGGTCATGAATAATGTCGAAGTACAGCCGAGTAAGCTCCTCGCAGATGGTCTTTGGTGGAAGCCTGCCTACACTCTCTTCCACGGTCGCGTCTCCCCCGTTTGGCGCCGGAGAATGAGCTCGTACACTGCGTTTGGACTCGGGCGCTGCGGGCAAGGGCGGGTTTTTGCGAGAGCACTTTACCCCCCTGACTGTGCAGGATGTACAACCCTCGCCGTTCACCGTGATCTCGCATTTTCGCCTCCGCAGACTAGAAACCGTCAGCTCACAGTCCAGGTGATGGTGGGAAGGAAAGTGCTTCCACCGGCAGGCATAGCACGCTTTCGCGGGTCTCATATTGCTTCAGTCAACAATATGTTCTGTCTTCACTGCTTGTTAAATTGAACCTATTTCCAACGGTTGCACCTTAATGTGGCGTAACAACAACTAGGCCTATAGACACGAGGACGCGGGAAACACTCCGTTTTATATAGAGTGACACAGCAAAATTTTTGGAATACCTCGGGACCAATTCACTTACCGCCTACCTCGATACGCGTAGTAAGGAAACACGCTAAACTGCAAACAACGCGTTGGTTGCAAGATGATTTAGAACTTGTTTTCCAATATACTCGATCATATCTTGCTGGCCTACTAAATCGCTGATATATGCATACAATTCAACTGCTGACCTTATGGCTCGTTCAAAAGAGCTTACGCCAACGCGTCGGGAGCGTATACGCAAGCTGCCTGGTATTAGCTGGGGATATAGGCGTATTCATCGTCGATATCCCTGGATTTCACTCTCAGCTCTCAACTATCGCAAATAGTATTAAGAAAGAGCCTGGGAGGAAATTAGGCGTCTCGAAACCTCGCTCTGGCCGTCCGAAGAAGCCTACAGAGGATGACAAAGCCCGAATTCTGTAAGTTGTTACTGAACAACCACATGTGACTTACCAGGATCTTCTTTCTGAGGGTTCGCATAAGGTGAAAAATGATTCGATTCGCCGGCTATTAAATTCCGAGAATATGCGAAAGCGGCGATGCTCCTGGAGGCCTTATCTCGATGAGGAACACCGTCACTACTAGCATAACCGGAGTAGAGCTACTAGGAATCCCCGAGGCTAGTAGGACTACGAGCATATAGAAACGTCTCTTTGTAGTTATTTAATTTGACTTAAAGTACGACCTAGCTATCCGATATAATGATTAATAGATAATTTGACTTCTCACTAAAGAAGCTCCTGAACTACGCACGAAGGTTCGGCACGTCGATATCCACCGCCACTAGCTCTGCTAGGAGGTCTAGGTAGGCAAGCTTCTTATTAAGTAGACAGGATCGAAAGATATAATGTAGTTCACGCCCGAGCGGATCACCCCAAAACACCATACTTAACGCCGTCTTCTGATTCATCCATATTTCGAACACCAGAGGTTTGATTCGATTAAGAATTTTGATGATGCATTTACCCTGCGGCAGGAAAAGCATCTATATATTGTAATCTACATGTGAAGATTCTTTAGATGCGTTACCATAAACTACGCTGTATTTTCGTCAGTCAAGGATTGGATATATATATTCGTCCGTACTTTGCTTAGTTGTCATGAAATGTAGCAGTAAGCTAGAGATAGTATTAAGTCTGTGACCCCTCAAATTCAATAATAATTTTATCTGGCTGTCAAGATATAAAGTTGTAATTTATCGCATTTAGTATTGTGTTTTGGGGTAATCCTCTCGGGCGTGAATTACGTTAGCTACAGATAGGCTCACTAAGTTACTATCGCGGTAGAAGCACGCAGAATTCGTCTAATTAATAGACATAGAGGATATTGGAAATCTGCTAGATTAACAGGAGACATTGTTGGGAATTGTGCGAACGCTGAGGGGGTGGGTTAAACTAAAGGAGTGGTCAAATACTACTAAGACCTTTTTGGGATAGGATGTTCCTCATCCACCCGATTCCCCTAACTAGTAACTATTCGTAAGTGTCACGGAAAGTGGAGAGATTTATTACATTGACGTGGGATTGGTCCAAATGCAACCCACATTTCCTATGTGTTTGTATGTAATATGCAGGTAACACCTCGACATCGGCATTGTCACCCGAATACTTGGTTACACCGCGATGGGACAGCTCAACCTGCCCCTTTTCCATTCGTTCTAGTTTCCTTCCAATCAATCAATCAATCAATCAATCACTCTTTTACTCGATGGTTCCAGTAGTTCTTATTCGTCCATATGCATACTAGTCTATACCGATTCAGCTCGCTTTGACAGTATGGATTCGGGTTAGAGTCGGAGTATGGTGCTGTAACACGCCACAACGGGATGATACCTACTCTCACGTGTTCAATCAGTCAGATCTTTAATCAATCAAGCATCTGATTTTATTGGACATCTTCAGTGCTCGCCAGTTTATCAATTCCTCATCCTGACAGTTTATAAGCTCCACGAGTGCTGCAGGATCGGTGACGCATAAATAACTCTTCACGTCGGTTAACCTAAGCTTATCTTCGGAGACACATGTAGAAAATCATTTTTAGAATAAGCCAGCACTTGCAAGCTATTGTTCACGCTACAAAATTAAAGCACGCTGAAGATAAAGTTAAATCATTCTCTCGATGTCGATACATGGCGAATTAAAAAATCGCATTCAATATGGTGTTTTAGGGTGATCCGCTTAACCGCGTGACACGGTACCATGAATTACGTTGGTTGGGCGGTGGCTGCTGATGACAAGAATATCTAGCGGCCTGGAGCGCGGTCCCATGGTCTGCCCCACGCCTGATTCCTTACCGCCAAGTGAGACTGCAACCCCTCTGTACATCACCTGCAAATGAAGAGTGTAAATACTAAACGATTCTTCATTTGACCCGATCCAATGAGAGAATGCCAAACCCGTCTTTTCATCCGTTGCCCCGTAGTGCATCGGTCTGCAGTCCAATATGCGGAGCCCAAAGCCGCTCCCAGAATATGCACCTACCTTTGTAACTACCGTGGATCCATCGCGCAGCAGGAGTGGCCTATATAACCCATTTTGGTACGTTTGGTCGGCCCATCACTCAGTGTTTTCGCAAAAATGTCTGAATCGAAACGCATTATTTGGCAGACTGGCACTCTCACTATCCATCTCGTCGTTGGAAGCGACGAAATTGTTCGCATTGTGGGCATTCTGCCTCATGATTCGTGCCAAGCGGAACAAAATGCCTTGTACTCCAAGCTGGGCACTGTTCCTCTGCTTGGGGTTCGGCTGAATGGCGAGGGGAATCCGTCGCACAAGTCATCCAAGACGCTCATAGGCAGTTATGTCTCTAGCAGACTGAAGTACCAAAGCCACCATGAGCACAGCGACAGCCAGTCAAAGTCTCTCGATATCATCACGTACGACGAGGTATCCCAGATTTCAGTTATCGCTCGCCTATCGGTATATCTGGGTATCCCGGTGATCCGTTCGACAGCGACCATTCGCAACGACTCTCAGGAAGACATTGTTGTCGATCAACTGTCGCCGCTCATTGTCGGCGCTTTATGTGAAAAATCGATTAGCTGTTGGCTCGACTACACCTTGTCCACTCCAACCAACTCTTGGTTCAGGGAAGCGCAGTGGCGGGATGAGTCTCTTCCCAGCGTCGGGTTGGACGATATCGGCCTTTCCGAGCTGCCCGGTCCTCACGAAGCGTCAATGGCACACCACGCCATTTCAAATCGTGGAACCTTCTCAACAGGAACCTATCTGCCAATGGGATTGCTGAAAAAGAACGATTCCAGCGAGACCTGGCTGTGGCAGATTGAGAGCAGCGGGTCATGGCGCTGGGAGCTCGGGGATTTTCAAGAGAATGTTTATCTGGCGTTAGGTGGCCCGACAAACAAGGATCACGGGTGGAAACACCGACTAGCTCCTGGTCAGTCATTCGCCAGTGTACCGGTGGCTCTCTGCCACGTTCTGGCCCATCCAGACAATGCCTTCGCAGCCTTGACTGAGTACCGTCGACGTATCAGAAGGCCTCACAAGGACAACGAAGAGCTCGGCCTGATATTCAATGATTATATGAATTGTCTTATGGGTGATCCCACTGAAGAGAAAGTCATGGCCCTCGTCGATCCTGCAGTGAAGCTAGGTGCACAATTCTTTGTCATTGACTGCGGCTGGTATGCGGATGACTGCGGCTGGTGGGACGACGTTGGCCTTTGGGAACCGTCGACTAAACGATTTCCGAAGGGTCTGAGGTCCCTATTTGATTATATTCGGGCCAAAGGGCTCACACCTGGACTGTGGGTGGAGCCGGAGGTGGTCGGTGTTCGAAGCGTGGTTGCGGACATGCTGCCAGCGGACGCGTTCTTCCAAGAGAATGGCCGACGCATCGTGGAGAAGGGCCGGTATCAACTGGATTATCGGCACCCTGAGGTCATCAAACGCATGAACAAAGTGGTTGAGAACCTCATCCTTAAATACGGGGTTGGATATTTCAAATTTGACTACAATATCGAAGTAGTCCAAGGCACAGATACAAACACTTTCAGTCCCGCTGATGGACAGCTCGGGCATAACCGAGCCTATCTCGAATGGGTTGGCAAACTTTACGATCGTTTCCCGGACCTGGTCATTGAGAGCTGTTCTAGTGGAGGTCAACGCATGGACTACGCTCTTCTAGCTGTTCACTCACTGCAGTCGACGAGCGATCAGCAAGATCCAGTCCGATATGCTGCCATTGCAGCTTCCGCACCGACAGCGGTCGCACCGGAACAGAGCGCCAGCTGGGCGTATCCACAGCCTGATTGGGATGACGAGAAGAACGTGATGACAGTTGTCAACAGTCTGCTGGGCCGTGTCCATCTCAGCGGCAGGATTGACATGCTGAGTTCGCACCAATTGGACCTCATCGCGAGGGGTATGCTCGTCTATAAGCTGTTTCGTTCTGACCTAACAACCGGGCTCCCGTTCTGGCCGTTAGGCCTTCCTAAATGGCACGACAATTGGTTGGCACTGGGTATTGCGGCAACTAGCGGGGTCCGGTATCTTGCTGTGTGGCGTCGATCTAGCTCAACTAATCTCTCCCTACCCATTCCCGCACTGAAAAGCCGGGACGTTGAAGTCAAACTTTTGTATCCGGAGATGTTTGAGGGAAATGCGCAATGGGATTCAGACAAAGGCACTTTATTGGTTTGTTTGCCCTCTGTTCCATGTGCGCGCCTTTTCCGACTCTCGCCAATCTGAGCGATAATAAGACGGTTTTATAGGCCTCATTAGCAATTAGGCATGGTTTTACGGGTATTAGCTTCCATTGACTATCTAAATACTCGAGGGAAACAAAACATTTCTCTCCAGGCTTGATGTCTTCGTTCAATGATACAGCGCGCTCCAAGTTTGTTCCTAACTGGGACACACTATGCCAAAAAAACATGGGGGTATACCACAAGTGTCAAGAGGTTGGCTGGTCCCAGAAGAGATGATATTTCGGATTTAGATAATGTAGTCTGACTGTATGCTATTTGTGTTGCCAATGTCTCCTTCGTTTTACTTTCCACCGGTTTACGAAGCTTTTATGGCATCAACTCGTACGATCTATGGGATCACGCTCAACCTTAGGGGAGAGTTATTCCATGCGCAATATTGCAATGAACTATAGAAAGATAACACCGTTTCATCAGTGGAGGCCTTGATCTGGCTTTCCTTATGGAATATCTAAGGTAAGATCCACTCGGCGCTAGTTATCTTTTGTTCTCCATGTTGAAGATCCCTAGAGCTTATGGTAGCGTCGTGGGATGTGGCTGCATTAGGTACTAACAATTCAAGGGAACATAGCAACAGGTGCAGCAAACAGCTATATTCTGCCTGTTGCAGCTGAGGTAAGGACTTAGGATGAAGGACGAAGCAAGAGCATTATCGGACAACGATGTCTGCTTTGGGAAGTTTTGGGAGGTTTGCACTTAGCAGCATACTGCCAATTTCCTCCCACTACCCTCTCATCCCTCGGCTTCGTTTATCTTCCTGAAATGATACAGCAGGATATACCATCTTGGCTCCCGATCGCAACACTGCCAAGGTTTAAGCTTCGTGCATTGTTCGGAATGAGCTTAAAGAACCAGACCCAAAGACCCACTTGCTAAGCGAATATTCTTAGACAACCTCCGATACTACCACCACTTCCACCATATGATAGGTGTTTCGTAACTGTAGGCTTCGACCTGACAATCTCCTCATCACGACCACAATTAGTCATATCTCCATAATGGACGCAAAATGCCTCCACATTGTGCAGTTTCTGACCTGCCAATCGGGAACCACTTTTATTCCTGTGTTATTGGTCTGCAGCCGTAGTTGTGAACCCGACAAATTTCCCATGTTTCCTAGTCTGGCGACCCTGGCGCTTATAAGTGTTCGGATTCAGGCTTCGCACAAAACTCGTCTAGTATCCCATGACAACAGGCACAATGGGGGCGTTTATTGTATAGTAAGAGCTTGCGGCCCAGCCCGCTTGTCCCGGACCAAAGACTGCGCTAGTCTCAAAGGTATGGGTTACCCCGTAGCCAGAATATGATTCCAGGATCGAGCACGTTGTACCGGTAACTCCACGCCTTAGCAACGCCAACAAAGCGGGATACGGCGCTGGCTATGGCGTTAGCAGGGCAGGCAAAGGTGGTATCACCGTACGCGGCCGAAGCACTGGGGAAGTATGCTGCGTGGCCAGGAAGGGGAGCTATATTCGCGTATTTATGATTGATCTTTTCTAGTTGCGTTTTTTTGAGATGTGGGTAGTTGGCACGAAGGAAAGACGAGACCTCCGCGGCGCTAGAGGTATTGTTGGCACCAGGAACCCTCGTTGGTAACGTGGCCCACGAGCATGGGTATATGGGCGAACTGGCTAGTCGCGAAGAGGGTATGGATTTGGTCGGGGATCAACTCGCTATCGATGACGGGTAGCTAGTAAAAAAGGGGTAGGGGATCGCTAAGTGCGGCTTCAGGGCTCGCTGCCTGGAGAGCAGAAATGTTTATCTTTCGTAGACAGTCCACGGACGAGCAGCCAGTCGACCCTAGCAGCCGCTGATATTGAAACTCTATTTCTGAGATAGTTCGAAGTGTGGGCCAAAAAGGACTCTTAAGGATTGCTTCGACGAAAAAGGTCTCTTTATCGTGGCCTCTGTAGGCCGTAAGATGATGTGATACTGATCCACCTCTAGCTGACGAGCCTTGTATGACAATATGGCTCGGGTCTCCGCCGAACTAAATAAGAAATAATTGTTAGTGTCTGTAGTTCTGGCAGAACTCCCCGAACGCACCTTGCTGATATGCCTCTGGACCCAGAGAAATAGCCGGCGTTGGTTGAGAAGGCCGATATTTACGTCTGTATTATGCCCTAAACTGTTACTGGAGAGGAACCTAAGGACGCCAACGCGGTAGTTGAACGTAACTACTACTATGTTAGCACCAGAAGACAGAATGAGCTCTGTGCCGTTGTAGTTTGCATTTTCCATCGCTGCGTATCCGCCACCTTGAATATATATCAATACCGGTAGGTTAGACTCTGGAGTAGTATCTGAAGGTTTGAATACGTCGACGAAAAGATAGTCCTTATCTAGACCAATACCAGGCTGCTGTCCTGTACCCGGGCAAAGACCGCCGAACTATAATGGAGGAGGTGGGCTTAGTCAAGGTTTCGATATTGCTAGCGACAACATTCTTTATCACATGACCTACCTGTGATGCGTCTTTTTCTTTGTAGCTGTTCTCTGGCTCTCGAGGCGCTCTAAACCTGAGTTCACCGATTGGGGTCCGCGCATATCACATCCCCAGGAACTGATCCACTCCCCCTGGAAGTCTGACACTATGGTACTTCGAATATCCAAGGTCGACACTTGGAGAACCTGGTTCATTATGTCTGGGGGAAAGTGTCACAGCCAAGCCATTTGCTTTTGTAGCGAGACAGATGCCTGCGAGAAGCTTAAGTCGGGCCATGTTGTTTTTGTTTACCCGCGAAGCCCCATGTCGCGAGATGAATTGCGCAATCGATTGTTGCACTCTCAGCCAATTGATTGGTTGTAAGTCATAATTAAGCTTCTGGGCACTTCTGGGCACCTTTGTACTGTAGATACATGGAAAAAGGTTCGAAGCAGAGGAGCGAATGTGTTGTTGATTACCACTTTTCGGATAAAAAGGATGCTGCTGCTGAGCTACCGGGAACGTATTCCAAAATCCCAAACAGCCACCGGGTGTTATAGATAAATTCATGCGGTGATACATTCACCCGGGCGGGCCAGAATACGAGCGGCTGTTAATGTTTACCAGAGTGAAACATGAGTAAAATTTCCTCACAGGAGCGATACTGTGACTAATAAGTGGCGGTTTGTGGTTGCAAAAGGCGACAATAATTACGTTCGCTGTTGTCCAATCGGCCCATTCTTCTCCATCGTCGGCACCGGGATTCAGCAAGCCTGGTTGGTTGATCTTATTCTTTTCCGCAGTTTACCCCGTGGGGTTGAGGAGCGGAAAGCGGAAGCGGTCGACCTGCCGTTATTAGTGGAGCTATCCTTGTGTAGACTATTCCATGTTCGGAATAGGTAGATTTATTCCGCATAAAGAGTACTTGCAAAGCCCACATTGGACCTGTGATTATATAGACAAAATTCCAATCTGTGGCATAGCTAGCTTAGTTTCACTCCACCTGCGCTGTACGTAAAGCAGACCAACTTTGCGATTTCATATCAATGAGCTAGCCAGAACAGGATAGGCTAACAATCCTCCTCGGACAAAAGGGCAGAAGAAAGCGGCTAAGCAGTAAATCCTATTTCATGAATAAGAATGATTGATTCAAGAAAGAACCAATATCATACGATAGGTTGGAACATCTTATAGATTATTTCCCCCGTAGATGGCTTGTCACCCCGCAATGACAATGATACCTGAACCTTAACAAGGTATACTTTCAACTAGCGCGATACAAAACAACGGAGCCTTTGTCACAGAACGAATCGCAGCACCCGCTTGCTTAATTATCACTTTTTTGAAACCTGGCCTCGGGTTGTCTTCCTGACCCGAATGTTATCACCTCGGTGCTATTGTGGATGCTGCCAGGGCGTGCTAAGATGTCTTACCTGGCGGATCCCGGTGAGATTAATCGAACATGGCAATAGTTTCAAGTCCACCGAAATTACCTATTTAGGAGTATATTTGCCTGAAGGCTATCAACAAGTAAGCGGCCCCAAGGACGGTCTGGTCCAATCATATGGGATTATTAAGGGTGTGCTGGTCTCGCCCCAGTTTCCCGCTTTAACCAGCTCTTTGTTCTTTGTTTCCTCAAACAATTAGTCAAATTATCTATCTAACTACAATACCTTAATCTGTCACTCTATTTCTAGGTCCTCGCACGCATGTAACTCATGCCCTGCAGCGAGCAAAAATTGGCAATCCGACCTAGAAGATCAGTAGCATACACAATAACTACTGCACTTGGAAGGTGGCATTTCCTCGAATGTCGGCAGAGCTACGCCCCACCAGCACCTGGAACGATCCCTTCTCAACCACATACTTCATCCGGCTATTCCACAAGCCGAGGTCCTCAACTTTCAGTTGGATCTTCACAGTTTTCGTCTCGCCAGCATGAATAAAGACCTTTTCGAATCCCTTAAGCGACCGATTCGGCACTGCCACGGATGATATTTCATCCACCACATAAACCTGCACGACTTCTGCTCCATCCTGCCCTTGTGTATTTTTCACATCCACACTTACCGTCACTGTATCCTTTCTTGAGACAGTTTGCCTGTCTAAGGTGACTTGTCCATACTCGAAGTCAGAGTACGACAGTCCGTACCCAAATGGATACCACGGCACAGGAGTCCCTAGGACGTACTGGTGGCCGAAGACAAGCTCGCCGTTTTCCCCGATAGAACCAGAGTCCCTCCCCCACTCGGTCGGTGATCGGCCAGAGTTCAAAAAGTCATAGTAAACGGGGAGGTCACCGACAGAGTGAGGGAAGGAAACTGATAGCCTGCCTGAGGGGTTGTAGTCTCCAAAAAGAACATCTGCAAGGGCGTTACCACCTTCCTCTGACGGGTAGAATTGTTGTACGAGCGCGGAAGCACTCTTAGAGAGCCAGGGCTCACTGATCGGTTTGCCACTAGAGAGGACGACGATAGTAGGGATACCAGTGGAGACGATGGCTCGGACAAGTGCACTTTGCGCTCCGACCAGGGAAAGGTCATCGACGTCCACGTGCTCGCCGGTGCTACATTCCTCGTTAGATATTTACTAGAATATCGGTGGGATGGAAGACTCACGTTGCGTTCAGGCCTTGCCAGAGTTCGTTTTGGTCGCGCGACCAAGTTCCCACGACAACGATGGCAACATCGGATTTCTTGGCCGCGTCAATAGCTTCCGCAAAACCAGACTGATCATTGCTCCATCTTTCGCATCCCTTGGCGTAGTGGACGTGGGCACTTGCGTTGACAGCAGCTTTAATTCCGTCCAACGGTGTGACACCGCGGTATTGGCTTCGATATGGGACGTAGTCACCATACTGTTCATTTGTTAATTTTGCGGAGTTTTAAAAATTGGGATGTAGGGGACATTACATTCATGAACCCATGCGCCATTGGGCCGATGACGGCGATATCTCCTGACTTCTTCAGGGGCAGAACATTGCCGTGGTTTTCCAGTAGAACAATAGACTCCTTGTCGAGCTGTCTGGCAATGCCAACTGCCTCCGGGGTGTGAATAAGATTTTTCCACTCCTCCGGTGGGGCACCTGGGGACGGATTCTCAAACAGACCCATAGCAAATTTAGCACGGAGCACTCTGGAGACTGCAGTGTCGACAGTCTTCATGTCAAGTTTGCCCGACTTAACCAGGTCCGGAATTTTTTGGAAGTTGCTGCCAGTACGTCAGTGCCGCATTTTCCCTTTCTCAACGATCATGTCTTACTATGAGCCACCACCCATCTCCACATCATTGCCAGCAGGAAGGGCCATAAGCGTCACTGCGTCCATGTCAAGTGGAGAGCTTTGGCAGAGATGGAAGGCATTGCACAGGCGATCTGTTGCTCCAGCATCGCTAATCACGAAGTACTCATAGCCCCATTCCTTGCGAAGGATGTCCGTAAGAAGATGCTCATCTGCAACGGCCGGGATACCATCGTACCTAGCAAATAGAATCAGCCACCAGGTCCAGGTACTTCAAGGGGGATAACGAAAAACTCACGAGTGGTATGCGCTCATGATACTCCAAACACCGCCATCGACGATCGCCCGTTTAAAAGACGGGAGCCAACTAGATCATAGGTCAATAAAAACCCCCATCGCACGAGGGAAGAATTCACGCACGTAGTCCTCAAGTGCCGCTCACCCCCTTGAACAGGGCCAGTATTGAGGCCCTGCTCTGGCATGCTGAATCCCGCAAAGTGTTTAACCATTGCAGAGACATTGAGGCTTTGGACCCCAGTGACGTACTGGTATCCAATCTCGCCGGCCAGGTAAGGATCTTCCGAAAATGTTTCCTCGACCTGTATCCAAGTTAGTTCTATTTCCAGCAATAGGACCAATGTGGTTGAACTCATACCCGGCCATAGCGTAGCTCGCGAGCAAGGTCAACAACTGGAGCGAACACCTGTGTGACACCCAGGGCACGAGCCTCCTGGGCAATAACCTTTCCCATCTTGTGGATCAACTAGATCAACCGTCAATGTCGCATTCTAAAAGCCCAAGCGGCCGCCGCGCAATCTTACGTCTCGGTTGAAGGAGCATCCGTATGCAATAGGGGAGTTGAAGATGGTCGCATTTGGGACCAAGAAGCCGTGAATACCTATAATGTCGTTAGTCTGGATCAGAGAATACAAGATGAGGAGCACATACCCTCAGTTTGAACAATGGCAGGAATACCGAGGGTGGTATTTTCCTTGATGTAATCTTGCGCCTTTTTGATGTTGGTTGCAAGCCAGTCCCATGGAACTGGGTATCCAACTAGCAAAAGACGGTTAATGACGCCGTAGTTTTAATGACAGCCGTTAAGGACATACCATAGAACATGCCACCCTTTGTCTTGATGCTTTGTTCCAGGCCTGTGTAATTAAACTGCCCGGTGTTTGTATCCATCCAATCGGACATACCGCCTGCAAATTTGTTAGCCGTCCTGGACAGAAGCTGTCGGTGGAGAATTCTATCCCCGTACCCTGCAATAACTGCGCCGCTTTCTCCTCAATGGTCATTCGCCCCAAAAGGTCAGAAACACGATGGTTGATGTCCGCCTTTGGATCTTTGTAGAGGGGTGGTGCACCATTTGCAACGGCAAGGCCCGCATAGAGGAGCAGTAGCCCCTTTGAGGCGAAATCAGAGAACATGTGGAGTGTTGGTGACTGGAGGCTCTGGAAAATTAACAATTGAATCTCAGGAGAAGACTTAGTAGATATTGAACAGATTGCCACCTTTGCGGTTTGTTTTATATCTAATTGACGGGGCACCGGAAACCGCTGCGGAGCAATGGAGCTTTCTTGGTGCGAATGGACATGGAGCTTGAAACCCTAGAATTAGGCAAAAATAAAGCGAATCAAATGTACGATGGTTATACGGGGAGCAAACGGTTTAGCCTCAGCCTAGGCAGTGATGGTAAAGTAAGATAAATTGCGCTGGCCTGGAGACATGATTATGGAATAGTGGAGTGCCAAGAGCCCCGGGTGCCACCGTAAAAAATGCCATTTAAGGGACAAATCCCGAGGGAATTGTATATCAACATAGAGCGGCTGACCAAGTTTGCCAGACCTCAAAAGAGATTACTTAGCTACGGAGGCCGTCGCAGGATCGGTGGATATCTTATCTTCCGCTCCGCAATCGCAGATGTGGAGGTAATACCTAATCCGTAAATTTTCAGCTTTGCTGTAGGATCCACAATGCACTCGCGGAAAATTTGCGGAGAATAAAGTTCCAAACTAACGGAAATCATACTTAGCAGGCGATGAAGAAAGGTACTCTGGGGAGTCTCTGCCTTTTGTGGCGCCACTGTACAAATACGAGCCCAGGCACCCAAGGACATGGTAAATTTAGCTCGAAGGAGTGAATCAGTATTCTCCGCACTGTCCAATCAATTTCGTTGATGTCCGCCGGTAAGTACGGCTTTGAGCAAGTCTAATTGGTTGAACCTTAACGTTTTCTACACGCTATTGTGTGCTGATTTTACCCGAGCTTTCATACCCCTACCCCGCATACTCCAGATATACGAGCTTTTCCGACTCCATTCAATCGGAACGTACGAATTGCTAGTCCATGTTCGAAAACCAGGGTCTCTGGCTCCCAATCTGGCTCGCAATCGCACCTGAACAAGCTCTGTGATCTGCTGTGCTTATTAGCCTAAATACGAGTCGAGGCAGCTCCATGGCTGGTTCCCTAGCTCTCTCCGCAACTCACCCTATCCTCCGCCATGCATGCGCATCCGATTTAGACGAGAAGATGCCGCTCGGTCCACCGGAACTCCATTATATGAAATGGGCTGGGGTTCCCTAGCAATCGAGGCATTTCTGCTAGGAGACATCGAGACTGATTTCAACTCCAACCTTACAAAGTTCTCGATCGACAAAATTCTGTGCCGGGTACGTTGAAGCTGTCCACTGCCTTGATCATCAGCCCTCAATATGGCGACGGACATGAACCGAACCGAGATCACTTTGGAGAAGTCGGCTGCCCATCATCTGGAGGATACGCTGGGCGTTGGTGCGGTCCTGGAGGCGAAGCAGGCCACCGATGAAGAGCATGAGCAAACCCTCTGGCAGGCCCTGAGAGCTAATCGCAAGGCTGTCACATGGTCCGTCCTAATTTCCATGTCGATTATTATGGAGGGATACGACACCATCCTGATGGGTAACTTCTTTGCGTATCCAACATTCAATCAAAAGTATGGCCACTACTATGGCGAAGAAATTGGCTGGCAGGTGTCGGCCCCTTGGCAGACCGGGCTGAACATGGGTAGCACAATCGGTGCCATTTTTGGTGAGTTGTGGGATCTTTACCGAACCTGTGGTTGTGATAGTCGCCTCTTCGTGCTAACCTGGCCCTTTTCCCTAGGTGGCCTCCTGAATGGTTACTTTGCCAGTAAGTACGGGTATCGCATGGTGATGATAGTTGCGTTATTCTTCATGACCGCGTTCATCTTTATCGTCTTTTTTTCCAACACCACCGCCGTCCTCCTCGTGGGTCAGATCCTCTGCGGTCTGTCTTGGGGTGTATTCGCCACAGTCGGACCTGCGTATGCGTCAGAGGTCTGCCCTACTAAGCTGCGTGGTTACCTGACCGTCTATGTCAACATGTGCTGGGCCATCGGCCAGATGATCGCATCTGGCGTGCTTTATGGTCTATTACAAAGGTCAGATCAATGGTCCTACCGTATCCCTTTTGCCCTCCAGTGGGTATGGCCTGTACCGTTGATGGTTATTTGCTGGCTGGCCCCAGAGAGTCCGTGGTACCTGGTCCGCAACAATCGTCTCGAGGAAGCCAAGAACAGTATCCGTCGCCTGGGAGGAGATAAGACGGAAGATCAAATCCATGGCCAGTTAGCTATGATGGTCCACACGGCTAAGCTTGAGTCTGAGATCGAAGGTGGCACTACCTACACGGAGTGTTTCAAAGGTGTCGATTTGCGCCGCACCGAAGTCTGTTGTATGGCCTTTGCCGGCCAGATTCTATCCGGCAGCTCATTCGCCTACTCCCCTGTGTACTTTTTCAAACAGGCCGGCATGAATGTCAACCGAGCATTCCAACTAGGCGTGGGTTGTACCGGAGTGGCCTTGGTCGGGGTTATCCTGTCCTGGTGGTTGATCACTTTCATTGGCCGACGGACCCTATACGTTTGGGGCCAAGGTACTCTCTCTATGCTCTTATTCCTCATTGGAATCGTCAGCGCGACCTCACATACTCCCGGTGCCCTGTGGGCGCAGGCGTCGTTCTGCTTCCTCTGGCTATTCGTCTTCGCGCTGACCGTCGGCCCTATCACCTATGCTATTGTATCAGAGATTTCCTCGGTGCGGCTGCGACCCTTGACTGTTTCCCTCGCGCGTACAGCCTACCAGATAGTCAATGTTGTTTCACAGGTGTTGCAGCCTTATTTCATGAACCCCACTGCTTGGAATGCGTCTGGCAAGACCGGATTCTTCTGGGGCACCACAGCCCTGCTTATGTTCATCTGGGCATTCTTCCGTCTACCTGAGCCCAAAGGCCGCACCTATGCTGAGCTTGATATTCTCTTCGCGACCAAAACTCCGGCACGCAAATTTGCTTCTACGCACGTCGATCCTTACGCTGTCGGCGCGTCGCCATCCCAGGAGGGTCTTGTTCGCCCTGAGGCAGCCGTCACACAAGAGAGGAAAGAGTGAAACGATTGGCCAGTTAGGATATCTTGTATTGCAAAAATATTGACCTTCTCATCCAGAGATCACTTTTGCACTGCTTTTAGTGGACTTCGTTGTAGGGGTGATTGACGAGTTAGCGAACTCAGCTTGTCTAATGTGAATCCTTCTGACATGGTTTCTTGTCTTTACTCTCTATTGATATTCAGAGGTTTACCAGTCTAATACTCGTTTTGAAACTTATGGGAGCCTTTGCGCCTTCGGCTTTACTGTCAATAATGTGTTCGAAGCCGTAGCTCCAGTAGTAAATATCAGCTAGTGCGGATGCGGCAAAACAGTACTGTAGCATGCACTCCAGCTAACAACCTCCTCCGTCCCTCAGTCGGGTACTGGCTGATGGTGCGAATCTGTTGGTTAGATGTAAACAGCCTTGATGTGAGTGTATTTATGTCTCTGCATGAATCTCACAACAGTGTGCCGAATCTTGTGAGATACTAACACAATAATTTCATGTCCCTCGGCCATTAAGGTATTCCGGCCCTGTAGAGGGGTACCCGATTTTAGAGTTTAAATCTTGCACCCCCTTAAGTACCCGAAATCTTGATATTTTTGAATCGGATCTTTTAGATCTTTTCATCCGATAGCGAGTTCTATCTAAATGTCATATAACATTCTAGGACTGTCACGTGGAAGGGCCTCACCCTAAGGGGGGGGGGGGGGGGTTATAGCTTATCTTTATATTATTATCCTGATTAGTTCAACGAACTCGTCGAACGATCCTTTTTGGAATGTTTCCGGAATATTTAGTTAGATAATAGCTATTCCAGATTCTTCCCTATTAATCCCCCTTTCCAGAATTTGGGTTTTATGCACGAAGGGTGCTCTAATTAGCAAATTCTTGTCTTGCACTTTATTATGTTTTCCGAACTATTTGCCTACCTTTTGAACACGTCTTGCGCAACATTTGCTTACTTCGGATTTTCCTACTTTTAATGTCAGTCAGGTATGGAATAAGGCAACAGTAGATTAGGTCCAAAACCGTTTCTTGAAAGATCCTGAAGAAACTTCTTATTCACAAGCTATTTAACATACATTCTCCCAGAGGGCTTTCTAGCCAACTGGATACACAGGACAGACCAATTCAGCTCAGACGGGTCCTCGTGTAACATAAGGGGAGGGGAAACACAAGTGGTATATTCTCCCCGTAAGTCCCCTATTGAAAGGTCGCCAATCCCTAGTCGACCCGTCGTTGTCAAGGGAAGTATAAGGGAATCGTGTAACGCGTATATAGCGCTTCCTTTCAGCCACACCACTAAACGGGCCTCGACCCGCTGCCGAAAGACTGCTGCCTTAACAGAATCTAGTCAGGCCTTACGGCCTGAGTCATAGACCTGGGTATGGCCTCAAAAGATTTCGTAACAGAACTCTGGATGCTCAATAAGACGAAATGGAAGATGAGCAACTGTAATGAAGTTAAAGAGCTCTCTTTCCCAATTCTCTTGGCTAAACTCTGGGTTCTTCGTCATAGGGGCTTTATACTAGCTCTAAGTTAGAAGGATCTATGATAGTAGGGATAGAAAGTTCGTGATATCTGCGCGTTGTATGGCCTGTTTTGAAGATCGGATACATGAAGCTGTTTTAACATGCCTTATCATCGTAGATGTTCCATGTCGACCTGAACCCTGGGCGCGTAGCATATAAGGATGCTCAAGAATCTGACTGCAGCGCTGACACATTAGCTTCGGAGAGCCATCAGTAACACTCGCAACCAGATAGTAGTGCTCCCAGATACCTGCAGTGCAGCATATCTTGAGTCCTATTTGATCTTGCCCGTGTTTCCGTATTCAGTCTCTAACCATCAATTTACCCATTCAGTATGAACCATAGAATCGTAGAGGACATAGGCTTTCGAGCGGCCAGGGCCAACGCGTGGAAGGGAGATGGAACGGTCGGACGAGGGGCTGGTCGAAGAAACTCGGAGTCAATAGAATCAACTGTTTGCTGACTGCTAGTAGCGAAGTCGGGTGTAAGGGATTGAATATTATCAGGTGTGAAGCAGGAAAGATCGTCTACACCATCCTCATATGTCGAGGAGATCGCGTCATAAAAAAGACTTTGAGACATAACTTTATACCTTTAGGGGGCTAGAAAAAGATAGGAGATAGCCAAGGAAGAACGTACTTGGAAATCAGGACCTTAGGACTTATGAGAAACTGATCAAGCGGTCTAATAACAAAAAGTAATCATACGTTAGATGCGTATGATTGGCCTAGCCCTAGTGAATTAGTGGGCCAGGTCAAAAACGTCCATCAAAAGCACATAGAAGGCCCATGAATAGCCCATATCCCCTCATTCGACGCTTAAGAAACAGGGTACCCGTGGCACTGACCACCCAACCCCTACCGGGATTGGGTGGTCAGTGCCACGGGTACTCGAATTTTTGAGAGTTTTGATACTCTTTTCTAACGTAATAATAGCTCTATTACTGTTAAAAAAAACATTAAAAAATCTTAATAAATCGCAGAGATCTGTTACGCTCAGGTACGAGAGGAAGGAGATCAACCAATGTAGTAGCATATGACGAAATAACTAAGCATGAGGAAGGAAAGAAGGAGAGAGAGCGAGATAGCGAGAGGCGATATAAATACATTATGGATACCTGCGGTTCAGGCATCAAACACATGCATCACAAGATTAACATGATACCACAAGTAGGGCCAAATTGAGAGAAATATAAGGTTAATCAAAACAAGGCTTACATTTCTAGATATTACGTATATTTCGCTCTACATTTAAAATATATTCCTGCAGAAAACAACAAATATTTTAATCACTACGCTATTATCCAACAACATAACTGCCGTATATCCCCTAGCTCTGGTATAAACCCCAAAACACATGCAGTTTCATCTATATACAAACTTATTTTATAAAATGTCGGTCGTCTAACGAAGAATCGCGATGATCATAGTCATGATCAGCGTGACAGGCACAAGAAACAGTAACTTAGTTAACTAACATAACTTATTTTAAGATGAATCAGCCGCTTTATGAACGCCAAGACTCGATTTTTATGCAGGGATGGGCTTTTGGGCCTTTTGGGCTAAATAGGGGGCACACGATGGGCCGATGGATGGTTGGGCTTTGCCGCAGTCTCACCGGCCCCTTAACAAAAATTACCATTTTTCCCGGGCCCTCGCGTACGGAGACAGGGGCCGGTTATGCACAGTTGAGTGTGTCGGTAGGGCGTCTGGTGGGTCTCGGCATAATCTACGATTGGACGATCAGCGACCAGTTTGGTAGATTGCATCTCCTACCGTACCAGGGTGAATTCTCCGCGGAGTAACCTTTAGTATAACCGGAGTGATTCTGCGGAACGTGGCGAGAACGCCATCAGATAGGAGCCACGAATTCGGAGTCGGCGCTTTCACCCGCCATGATCTTGTCTGCCAAACATCTTTAAAGAAGACTTTCGTCATCTTTATCATCTTCTACAAAGAAAGGCCACAATCGGTCCCCAGTCAGCATACCCCAGCACAACCAAGGAAAGAGAAAAGTCTCCAACAAAACAATGCTCGAATTCAGGTATCTAGTTCACTTTGAAAACGACAACGGGGACCAGTTCTTCGCCAACGGTGATTCCCCAGACCCTGTCATAGGAGGACAAATAGCAGCGTATCGATCGTTTGACGACCTGCGGGAGGGTAAAGGGGCAGTCAATACCGCAATCGCCAAGGTACTTAAAACTACTTCACTCCTGAATGCCTACCTATTGTGTGATACCTACTCACAACAACATACAGCTTCTCCCCCTCTGCCTGCTCAAGGGTTACCGATCTATTGCGTAGGACTTAATTACAAGAGTCATGCGAAAGAAGCGAATGTAAGTGGGTTTGTGTCATCAACCACTTGGGTAGAACCTCACATCCAATTTAGCTTAAGGTGCCAGCCAATCCGCCAGTATGGACGAAGCCCGCCGCTGCGCTGGCGAGCCCAAACGAGGAAATCGTTATGAACCGGTTTTGTGCATCTAATTTGCCGGACTGGGAGGTATGAGTCATTATCTATTTTTGCCTTCACGGCTTTCATCCAACATATGAGCTTACTATGTTGAAGGGGGAGCTTTGCTTTGTCACTTCGCGGGAGTGTCGCGATCTATCTCCCGACGAAGCATCATCATGTATCCTGGGCTACGTAATTGGGAACGACCTTTCTTGTCGCTTCTTCCAGCTACCTGAGCAGTCTGGTGGTCAGTTCTTCTACGCTAAAGCTTTTGACAAGTTCGCACCCCTGGGGCCTGTGCTAGTCCATCCCTCTCTCTGGCATGAGGTGAAGAAAATAGCCCGGCTAGTCACCCGTATCAATGGGAAAGTAAAGCAGAATTGCCACCTAGACACGGACATGATCTGTGAGCCTGCAAGAGTCCTTAGTTGGATGTCACAAGGTATGAACCCTTCTATATTGAAGATCGGAGATACGCATAGATTGTGAAGTGCTGAACTAACGAAGGGGCAAATCCGCAATTCTTATAGGCACTACTATCCCCGCATATACTGCTGTGATGACAGGCACTCCTGCCGGCGTGGGTGCATTTCAGAGTCCGCGAGAGTTCCTCAAAGACAACGACGTTGTGGAAGTGGAAGTTACCGGCCTCGGAACGCTGAGAAATGTAATCAGGTTCGGAGAGGGCCAGGATTCAATGCGGTGAGAAGATCTCCCTCAGGGGTTGTGAGAATGTCAACCAACCTAGCCTCGTCGCTTAGGGACATCAGAGACGTTGTACTGATGAAATTACCATATGATATACCAATAGAGCCGTTCTATGGAGATTATTGAAGTCGAAGATTTGGTATATGTTCAGTTTGTGGTTGATCTGACAGGACGAGCAGAGATATCAACCTGCCAATCATACTATGCGTGTAGCTTTGGCTTTTATAAGTAAAATATACATTCAATCATCTTCTTGTCTCAAGGTCTGTCTTGAAACATCCGACGTATACAGGACCTGTGAATTGGTTGGGGGCGTCGCAAACTTTAGAATATTTAGGTCTCTGGATGAGGGCACCATTTACACTCTTATGTCTAGTCAGGGAAAGTTTGTTGAGATGAGGAGATAGGACAGGAGGAGCGATGGCGTATGTGCCAGCAATTGAGTAATATTGAAGATACTGTTTGAGATAACCCCCTGGGCGGCAGTGTGCTATACACACTTCTGGAGGCCCACTATACCGTGTAAGGCTAGTGCGTCTCAGGGAGAAACTATTATCTAACAAGGCCTCAGTGTCATTGAAGACTGCTGATACCTCAACAAAGTTTGCTGCGTAATTATTTGGGTCACGCTAGGAAGTGCACTGAGAGTATAGAGACTATGTATGAAAAGCAAAGGAATGGCAACATCGCCAACAAATTCGGAGATCCTAGAGCAATTAGAAAAGGAAGATGTAGCCTGGTTGGTCTCAGTAGTCCATAAGAACCTCCATGTCAAGTGTAGAAAAGGTAGATAAGAATGTGATAATGAATAATTCCGTACTGCGTGCATGACCTGGAAAGCGGCGGTAAAGATTTTCCGAGAGTTATATCCTTAGCACAAGCCATAGCTGGCAAGAAGGTCTTCGGAGACCGTACAGTGGTGGACTAAGCGGGCTAGACTCCCTTCGAGGTCCAGCGGTGTGCGAGATCAATTCTCTGGGTTCTGCTACTCTACGTGCCATGGAACTGAAACTACTAAATCCTCTCCTCGTTTTTTTACCGCGTTTTGCACCAGTGCAGTGGTCCCGATTTCGGGGCAAATAACTAACTAGGGTTCACAATAGCGTACGCGCCATACTCTCTTAGCTCTCTAGTAAAGTATTGATGACATTCGTGGTACAACTTGGCTTGATCTTGTTGGCGCGGGTCCGTGCGGGAGCTACACGCCAGGTATTTAGATATGTACTGACTGTTCTCTACATCCGATATCTCCAAGTGCTGCTCGCTATCCGAAGGAGAAGACAGCTTATGTGTATATGCATAGATTGTGTAAGTGCGTTTCACAGAATAGATTTCTTTACCTGGTCGGGATCTCGGGATTTGGATCGGACCGGACGTATGGCCATTTTCCGAGCCGAGATGTATGGTCATTCTACTCCACAAGAAGCCGTTGTCAGTCTGGAGAGAATTTAGTTTGAGTACCGTTTACACGACTCTCTTTCATGATGTCTGACAACGATACGCAGAGGAAGCAGGGAAGAAGAGCTAAAACATTTGATTCGGGCAACTAAGGAAACGAGAACCCTCACAGCAAAGGGCGTAAATAGGCCTGAAGACGGAGAGAAAGCAAACACGCTGGGCTTGGCAAACAACACAAGCGGAGAAATCCGCTAAAAGGAGGAGTTTTTCTCAATATCCTGTCCGCCGAGTTGGGATCCTCTCTAATGGCTACCGACGTATATCCTATTGCTTCATATTTCACCAATTCTGTCCTCTTTCGATGAATACAATTGCTTACAAACAGCCTCGTGATTTTTAGTGACTAGTCAAGAGTATGTACGGACGACACGTAAATATTCATTTGAGCCTTACTAACGGTGCCACTGTCCTACGCTGTCATAAATAGCTCATGGTGTAGAATCCGATCATGGCGGCCCCTACTGCTATGAGCGGACACACCTCATCGTATGCTTACCTCATCTATGGTGGATACTGAGAGTACAAACGATTGAACAATGTGAATATTGCTACATCCTTTGAACAATGGTTTTTGGTGTGACGATCATTGCCAAAGAATGCGTTATTAACATCCTTGACCGGCCCGTTAGTACGCGAGGGTCCGGGGAAAATGGTAATTTTGTAAGGGGCTGGTTAGTTAGCCTCGGTAACAACCTTTAGAACAGACTGCTCTCCAGGAACTTACGCCTTTCAATAGAGAGATTATTGAAATTGTGACCGGTTTTTTCCGCAGCAACATTCTTCACCACGGGCTCGTTGTTCCCGAGGGCTCTCTATACCTTCCAATCAAAGAGATTGTTGAAACTATAAAGTATCAAGGTAACAAGAATGGCATGGGGACGGGGGCATATGCTAGGTCTGTGGTGGAGAAATTGATGAGCAAGCAAACTCCGAAATTTGGGAGGGCAATAGGGCATGGACTATACGCTTCCTGGTGGGATTTCTACCTTCGTGCCTCCTCGACGCCACAAGGCCACAGCGATGTTGGCTATTTCGCCAGAAGACGGCAAGTGCGTCCCAAATCATGACGTTCCAGTCTCCTAGCCCATTAATTTGATCGAGCAGAGGGATGTAGAGAACCTCACTCGCATCGCTACTCAGCAATCCCCTTGACAGTTGACTCTAGGCCACCGTCTGATCTCTCTTGCGGAGCATTGTTCATCCTCGGATCAACTTGCGAAAATGGCTCGTGGCGGCCATGAAAGATGTTGGGCGCCGTCGTCATCGTGACCAGAACATGGGGATTATGTTTAGGATCATGTTAATGGCACGACAAACTAAACCCCTTTTGGGTTAGCTCCCACCCACTAACAAAAGGGTACCTTCGACTTCTGCATGAACACAGCTGAGGCCTCGGGTATACATCCATATCTCTCTATGTAAGCCTAAATATTAGTTTTACCTTAAGGATGTGACTACTTAACTATCAGTAATTACAAAATTTCTGCTACTCTTATAAATGGTGCTCTGTTGTAACGTGGCATTAATGGCTGAGAAGTGTTTTTGTAGGGGTCGAGGGTACAATTGGTGGTAGGTGGGAGCTAACCGAAAGGGGCTTAGTACGTCGTGTCATGAACGCTCTTGTCGTGCCATTAATATCATCCTATGTTTATGCAGCTTAACATATATAGATCCGGCGTCGCACTCCGATTTCAAGATACCGTGTCGTCGATTCTGAGTGCGCCACTACGTGTGCTTCATGGGGCCCATTCTCCTCGTCGAAGGACCTTTAAGGTTGTCAACGGGCATGTCAGGAGCGGAGAATTGCTTTTGGTTCTTGGCCGACCTTTGACTGTCGGCCAGACCCTGGAGTTTGCTGCTGCGACACGTACACCAAGTCATCGCTTTGAAGGCATATCACCGTCCGAGTTCGCGAGGCATAGCGCAAATTGTAATATCTGTTTTTGGGCTTAACCATACATACAACACCCGTGTATGTGACGATTTTATTCGCGGTGTCTCTAGTTGTCGGCATATGTCCTCCTGTCAGAACAAACCATCAGTGACTTACTGCCAGCGACTGATGGATAACATCCCTTGCTTGGCGCACGCATTCTTGCGTACCGCAGGGGGCCGGTGTGTAGGATCCAGGGGTGTTTTTCTAACCAGACTAAGAAGACACATCTATCATCTATGAATCAATTGACTTTTGCTTTGAAAGCACAAACACTGTCCACTTAACTGTGTATACAGAACCTGGCTGGTGATACCAACACTAGTAGCGAACGAAAGCGTGTTAACTAGTATCGCGGAGATATCTCTGGCTAGGTCTCCACTAGTAGCGTAGGATAACTCGACCCGGTGATTAGATTCTGCTACTATGGTAAAATTTGTGGAATCTCCACAGCTACTGTCTTGTCTTACCAGTTCAGCCCATATAGTGGCGGCCTACTAAGCCAGTCAAAGTATTTATAACGTGTTCGACTTGAGTGGACAGGTTAATTGACAAGAGGGGTGTGCGACTCGTTTTGGGACTAAAGATGGTTCTGTGGGGGAGAACGGTGCATCCCTCTTCCAGCAAGGAAGTATAATCCAAACTCTGAGAATCGTAGCCGGGGATCCGTATCAGGCTTGAATGGGCTGTTGCTCTTCTTTTCCATTGTTTCTAGGCACAACTGAGGCTACCAAGTTGGAATTTGCGGTAGTAGATCCAGCGCTATGAAATGAGAGGTAATGAGTCTGATGTCTTCAAGAAGCGAAGAGGTACTGACCAGAAGCCACGAAGTTTAAAATAAATGGGAGGGTAAACAAGCTGTGAACCGTCGGCTTGTTATGAGGAGTATAAGGAATGCTGGAAAAATTGAGAAATATACCCTATGTGACGATTCACATGTGCAACGTATGCCTTGTGTGACATTGACGCCTTGTGCGACGTGTTGCAGGCATCTACATGTATTTAGATCTCCTCTCGCCATCTCTCTTTCTTCCTTCCTCGTGCTTAGTTGTTTCGTCAAATGCTACGACATTGGTTGTTTATCTTCCTCTCGTACCTGAGCGTAACGCCCTACGGGCAGGGAAATTGAGAAAGAACACGTGAAATTCAGCGGTTTGGCAGCGCTGCCAGGTAGAATTAAAAATGCGACAGTCGCATGATTATAATGGTAAAAAGCCCAAGGGTGCAAGATTTTTTATCAAGGCAGCAGAGAGGCCCAGGCAAGTACGCAGTAAACAGTTTATCAAACGGCTTGCCACCGCACTGTGCCGAATCGAGACGAGTTCCTCCGCGGGAGAACTGGAGCCCCAGAGACTTCCAGTCTGGTCCACTCATAGACATTACTTCAACCCAGTCCGACGGTTCGGACCCACCCTTGGCACTTCACGAGACATTTTAACTTCTCTCTTCGACATGGATCATTCATGATGTAATCAAGTCACATGAGGTTGAGCTCCCTACTCTACCGCCTAAACCTTTTCGCCTAAATCCTCGTGTGGGCACCCTGGACAAGCGGACACCTATTGCTATTCGCATGCAGACTAGTCAACTGAGAAATGGATATGTCTGAGGTGGACAGCCGCTCTGACTCGACTGTGGTTCAGGAGCAAGCTGCGCCGACTTCTTCGTCGGCCAACCTGCGGGTATGTGATAAGTGCATTTCGTAAGTTTGCAACCCGAATCATCTCATGCGTTGCTAAAGTCTCCTCTAGGCGGAAAGTCAAATGTGAGCGAGCCGGTTCCAAGTCTTACTACAAGAGTGACAGAGGCTCACAGTGACCGAAGGCGACCAAAGGCGACCGGTTTGCTCCCGTTGTCACGAAGGAGGTTATTCCTGCATTTATTCCTCCGCAAAGAAGAAACCAGGGCCCACGAGAGGAACACGTAAGACAGGAAGACGGCCAGGCAAACCTATTGGGAAGGCGGCTCAGCCACCTGTCGGCTTTGACTTAGGTAGCGTCGAGCAGGGGTCTTTTTCCCTTGCTGATACTTACATAAACTCCCTTGTGACGGAGCCCCCTGTAGCCGCCGGTACTATCAGTCCCCGCAGTGATATGGCCGCTCGATCGATGGGAATCGCTTCTGAAATAGCTCCAATCGTCCCTGCAGTCGGTACATCGAGATATCTGGAATTGCGGGTCTCTCCGGAGGTGCAGGCAAAGCTGCAAGTACCTCTGTCCCTCCAGGTTGTCTAGACGTTCCGGCCGAGCTGCTAACTTCAAGTAGAGTCGAGGATTTCTTCAACCTCATCCATCACTCTATCCCACTCTTTCGGAAAGACCGCTTCGTCGAGCAGTATAGGAACGGGACCATCAACCCTTGTGTACTAGTGACTGTTCTAGTTGTGACGGCAAAACTGCTCGGCCCAGCAGAAATCGCGCAGGCACCTGATATTGAGAGCTGCCTCCAAGTATTGTTGAGGGATGATCCGTTCGAAGGAGTAAGCCAACCAAACATAATTCTGGATGCTTTCCGTCAGAGTTGTCTGCTTGCCTACTATCGATTTCATCAGTTTCACGGCGAAGATGCGTGGGACTATGTCGGTCAGCTAGCACGCAAAGCTCTCCGGCTTGGATTACATCAGCTGGATTCCTTCGACGGATATAATTTATTTGGAGATGGTGGAGATGATCTGGCCGGTGTAGCTGACCTCGAAGAATGGAGATACGTTTGGTGGTGTATATACTGCCTGGACTCGTACTCGAACATCACGGCGGCAACACCTTTTGTCTTGGAAATGGATGGCATACGCACCGCATTGGTGTCTACATCTCTTGAAGATCAAGGCCAGGATCCCGCAGAGCCACGTGTGATGGACTTTCTACCGACGAATACCAAAGACCTGTGGCATATGTCGGCGGTGATGGGGATCATGCGCACCCCCGCCTCGTACTTCAATATGCACATCGTCACTACAACTATCTTGAGACAGGCGGCGACCATTAGGAGGCTAAGGAGGCAGAACCTATGCGAAATACTCCAGGAGCGGCATCGTCAGTTCGAGGACCACCTATCGGCTGTACTGCTTTCCTTGCCTCCCGCCTTTCTCAGCGAAACCCGTAATGTGCTCGCTAACGAGCCCAGCCTGAGCCATCATGCCCGACTTGTCTGTCTCCTCCATCTATACTCTGCACGGCTCTTGAATGTCATCACGGTACATACCTTGGATGATGCGGCGTGGGCGAGTTCCTGGCAGAGATCGCTTGTCTACTCTGAAGATATTGTCGCCGTCGTTCGGCATTGGGATAGCAGATACTGCTCGACCGTTGACCCAGCCATATGCCTGATTGTATTTTCTGTCTTAGTTCTCTTATATATGCACGAGATCCATGAGGCGACTGCCGCGCTGTTCACTCTACGCCATCGGCTTGAGGCCGAAAGGAATTTGCTTATCCTCTTCCTGCAACAATTCTCTCAAACCTGGGCACTTCCCCGATTACTCAGAGGTGGGTACAATCAGTTCCATGGCTCAAATCCTCCGGCATTAGGATTAAAGATGATAACTTGGTTTAGAATCATTCGACAATTTCACCAATATGGTGAAGGGCCCTCTTACGTCTCACGACATTGGCCTACTCTTTACGCAAGTACCAGGTCCGTTCCAACCCTGGAGGGGCCTATTCGGACTTGCCCCCAGCCCGCCGGACCCGCTACGCATCCCACACAGCCCCATGATCGAGATTGCTGGGCTTCGTTTCTCTTCCGATTTCTTTTCGTTTTTGTAGTAGTCCTCATGACTCACGTGCCAAATTGATTCTGGTTGGTCTGTTCCTGGCCAGGCTTAGCATGGGTTGCATGTGGCTTTCTAGGGATTGTACGTACCTCTACTCGCCCACGCGAAATAGGACAGCCTATTCGAGCAGTGCTTTCTAACGACGCACTCGAGTGGGCTCACACTGTATAGTATAAGGGCAACGCAATGAGCGGATCATTTGCTGTTGACCGCCCAAGGCCGGGCGTCCATCACGGATATGCCTCCTATCTGTCAGGGGCCGATGAACTGATGTACGGGCAAATTCATTCTTATAACATTATGTCAGGTATTCAATGAACAGAATGAACAGCTAATGCCACCGAATCACTTCAAAATCCACTGCCTCGTTCCTAGACGAAAGGACACGACAAACAAAATCGCAAGGAGTGAATAACACATTGGTCATTGGAGCGCTGACCAGCCACGAACCAATTCACCTTCATGTATGCTACGGGCCAGTCGAAACGAGTATGCCCCATTGCGCCGGATTCCCGCAAGCAGCATCAAGCATGCCTCATTTGGCCTTATTACTGCCAAAGTCCTTTGGCACTTCAGGACCCCAGACAGACAATGGCCCCACATGTTCTCTCCTTGTTGGATTTTCTTGGTTCACGACGTCCCCGTCTGCATAGTGCTCAATTTTAAAGCCACTGCTGTCGTACCAGTAGTCAAAAATCTGGCTACCCAGGATATGACGCCCCACCCCCCAGACGGCCTTCCACCCCTTCTTTGCAAGGTACTGATGACCCATCAGCTGCTCATCAAAATTGGCAACCTCGAACGAGCTGTGGTGAAGGTACGTCTTGCGGACGTTTGGGGGTGCCCGCTGGAGGAACAGGCTATGATGGTCGGAGAATTCAGGCCCAAGGTCGAGGTGCATGAAGGTCAGAACGTCGACGTGTGGGAATTGTGGGAGATTGAGGATGTCCGAATGTACGAAGTTGAAGTTTAATGTGTAGAAGTCCAGTTCCGTGTCGAACTCGCGACACACGTAACCATAATGCCCGAGTTTGTGGACCAGCGCGGGACCATCTTGGTACCGCTGGAACTGTCCGAGCCGTTTTTTTTCGAAGGGGGTGTTGTATGGTTCTTGGGAGACGTGCGTGGCCGACGGTAGCTCTTTTGCATCGGTGTTCACCCTGCGCTCCTCCTGCCCGAACACGACATGAAAGAACGTCCCATTCGGTCGGGAGAAGGTAATCATCTTGCCCCCTCCAGGAGCTTCGTCAAGCTCCTTAAAGATAGCGCCGGGTAAGGCTAACGTCTTCTTAAAATTAGCCTCGTCCTTAGCTATCCAGGCGCCACCCATAAACCTGGATTGACCCGTCGCGCTCTGCGAGGCCACATAGACATATGGGTCCTTCCCGTACCCGCGGTAGTAGATACTGTTGCCCTTTCGCTCGGCCTTCACGAAACCGAAATCCTGTGCGAATCTGTCGAACTTGGCGAGATCTTTATGTTCGAAGTAGATGTGTCCGATGCGAGAGAGCTGTACTTTGGATGGGTTGTTGACCACAATCGGGATTGAGGCAGGTGGGAGTATCCAGTCCTGCCAGGACTTGGGTAGGCAGGCAATAATGTCCAGAATGAATAGGGACATTGCTCGCGTGGTATTACTTTTGTCCGTCTTCGTGCCTCGCGCGGGGCTAATCCCTGCTCTTCTGTGATTGTTGGGTGGCTGCTAAAGACTGTTAATGCCAATAAAGGAACGAGATCTTTCCTTTTTCTTTTCTTGTCTTTTTCTTGGCCTGTCTGTTTTCGTGGGTTGGGATGCGATCATTCAGATGCCACAGCAACGATTTTATATTTCTCGCTGTCTAGGTTGGCCCGTCCTTGTCATCATATGTGGTAACTATGTTAGTCGGACTGAGTTCCTCCGAGGTGAAAAAGAAGCAAGACTCCGCGGCACAACATCAGCAGTCGGCCGACAACTCAGTTACTCAGGTTACTCTGTCCACCTTCCGACTCAGCACCTGGGAAGCGAATGCTCGCGCTCATAACAGAGCCGAATTCCGATAGATCTGTGGTCAGCTTCCGTCCGGATTTCACTTATTCTCAATCAGACCTACGTGGACCACAACGCCCAATTGCCCCCGTCTTCGATATTTCTATGCCTCCAGTCAATATCGATGTGGCCATTGTAGGCGGTGGACCATCTGGTCTAGCCCTCGGTCTTTCTTTGGCACAATACGAAATTAAAGTATCAGCATCCTGAACCGCGTTCGGGTGGCAGAGATACAATATACTGATTACATCATGTTCCAGTCCGTCATTCTCGAAAAGGAAGATGCCATCACGCAGGACCCTAGGGGCGTAGTTCTTACCGGAGACGCTCTCAGGAGCCTTTATGCTCTTGGGTTGGGAAAGTACATCTCCTCGATCGGTCAGGGTAAGGGCGATGCCGTATGTCAACGGGAAGTAGTTTAGTACGTACAGGCTGACCGATTCATCATCTGCAGAACTTCACTCTCTCAATTTTCACACAACCTCCCCTCAGAATAAGCCCTTCTTTGTGGTCAACCTGGAGTCGGATATGATGCAGCATGCTTTGCCGAGTACTATCTTGCAAAGTCAACCAAAGCTGGGTGAGAGGCAACTCCATAACTTACCAAGAAAGAGACACTTAACTCGCGCGGGTTCGGGCCAGACCAGTGCTGATTCAGTCCACAGAATATTTCCTTAGAGAACTGGTGTCATCTTCGGATTATTGCTCTCTTCTCTCTGCCTGTGAGGTAGTTGGCCGTGATGAACACGCGGAAGGGGTGACTGTTCACTATCTCAATCGCGACCAGAAATCTTGCCAGATCCAGGCCGGATGGCTCGTCGGTGCGGATGGGAAAAGGGGCATCGTTCGCAAGCACTTTCTCGAACCCTCAGCAGGTATCCGCCAGGAAGTTGGGATCTTTGAGTACGACGGAACCTGGATAGCTGCGAACCTCAAAATCACACTCCCAACACCAGAGAGTCACCCTGATCTTGCGCTTTGGGCTGCCGGATACGACCAAGAGTCCGTATTTGACCTTTTCTGGCCCCAAAATTGGCATTTCTGCCGTCCCCCGGGGAGACCCGTGGCCTGTGGCCGGTTCGGTCCGCTTGAGGATCGGCTCTGGCGCCATGAGTTTGCTGTTCCGGAGTGGGACGATTCGATGGATGCTCTTTCGATGTTTTGGGATCATCTATCTCCGATCATTACCAGGAACATTGAGCCGTCTTATGGCGCAAGGCCGGTGGAGGTGACATTTCCCTCTGACTGCATCCAGGTCCTCCGCTGCCGGCCGTTCCAATTTAGCCACCGGGTAGTCAATGCGTGGTTTGCCAACCGCACTGTGCTGATTGGGGATGCGGCACACGTCTTTCCGCCCTTCGGTGGACAGGGCGTGGCAGGTGGTGTTCAGGATGCTGTTGGGCTGGCCTGGCGGCTAGCAATCCTTACTAAGATGGGCACTCTATCGTCCTCGATTACCTGCCGTAATTCTCTTCTACAGGCATGGGCAGCTGAACGGCGGATGGGCATCGACAATTCGGCACGTTTGACCCGTCAGAACGGCGAGTTGTGTAATAAAGAGGCTTCTTTCAAGGGACACCTACAGCTGGCTTGCGTGAAGATTGCTCAGGCTTTCCTGAACGGGCTTGGTATGCGACTTCCGCTAGTTGAGGCAGACAGCCGGGGCTACAGTGGCTGTGGCAGAGGCACTTTCCTTGCCGAATTTGGCGGGGGAATTAAACTGGGCCAGATCTACGTGCAGGTCCGCGTCCCAAATCTTCCGACGCTCAGGATTGAACTCTCGGATCAGACACTGCGGCGCGCCCCCACAGTGCTGACGCTTCTCGTTATTCAGCACACTCGGTGTCATGAGGGACAGAGCTTGGTTGATTTACGACAACTCCTTTCTCGGTCTGGGGTTAACTCTTCGATATTGTCGGATAAGTCAATCGTGCAGTTTGATCCTGAGGGGTCGTCGAATATCGAAACGGGCACGGGCCGTTGGCCCGTCTGCCGTGCAGCCCCTACCGATCTTCTTGCCGGATATCCCCTGCGCCTGGGATATAACCCTGATCAGTTCCTGCACCGCCTTGGAGATTCGCGTGCACGATACGTAATCGTCCGACCAGACCATATTATCTTCGCGACAAGCAAGGACCTTAACGGTCTAAGAAAGTGCTTAGAGGAGGTGAAATCCAGCATCCCTTAAAGAAACACCATTCGTGAATTGCGCTAATATTTGGCATACATTCTAACACTTATTGGTTGGCAGTGGTCATCTTGTGGTCCTGGCTGAACCTTGTGTACAATCTTTGGTCTAATTATATATATCTGCAAATAAACCACACCAAACCAGCTTGCAACGCTCTTTTAAGTAAATGCATTGTGCATAAGGGCTTCAAGAACCAAGGAAACGGAACGTCAGCGACTGAGAGCGAGATTTCCAAATTGCTAGCCTCTACGATGGCACCATGCCATTTCCCCGAAGGCTAGATTGCTCCTTCGTCGTATCTAGAATCCCTTGCAGGCTCACAGGTCAGATACGTGGCCAAGTGGGACCTTGCTTGGTCCAGCACTAACACAGGTTACTAGCTGGGTTGCGTTCTTTGCCTCATGCCAAAGAGACGGGTTGATAAGCACAGGCCATAGCAGAGTAAAACTCTGTCAAAAGCGTTCGTAGTGTATCTGGTCAAATTGTCGTGAGACCCGTCGAGAATTCAATTCTGTATGTGATTATACATCGAAATTCCTTTCTTGGGAGGAACGAGTGTTGGAGGAAATGCGATGGTGTCATCCGGGGACTATGGGATACGCAACAGATGGATATTGCATGCGTCTAGAGATGAGCTTTAGGGAAGATATGAACTGAATGGGAAATCTGCTTTGTATTTGGAACCTGAGTCAGAACATCAATTCCAACTGTGCCGCTTATGCTCTAGTGTAAGTTGATATTATTCTAGCGCCTCTCAAGAAAGTCAACATTACGCACAGCCCGTAGCTATACTAAGCAAGTTGCACTAGTAGCTAGTGTGAATATCTCGGCTTACGAAATCGCGAAGAACTAAATATATAATATAAAATAAGTGTCCTTATATATCCAGTCCTTCGTGGTTGTAGTCTACAGTTAGGAATAGTGGATAGTATACTAGACTAGTTATTCCTATAGTCCGTATAGTATACCCAACTGTATACCTTAAGGTCACGTATATCAGCGGCTAGTTCCTGCGTCGCTCTAAATGTCCCGTTATGTAAGTAGGTATTGGTTGTGATAGTTAGCCGCAGGCCGTTTCTAGCTCCCGCCCCGAGTATACGCCTTAGAGCCCCTCTAGGTATGCCTAAGTATACCGAAACGTACGTGATGACACTAATCCTTAGCGTCCGTAGAATAATTGGCTCACGGTTGCCCCTTAAATAGCTGCGGCCCCCGTGCCTCTTTGAGGTCCGTAACATTATATTAGAACTAATAGCTGTCGGATTTACGCCGTGTGCATAAACCCTGAGGCGTGTGCTTGTAGGCGCACACAGGTCGATCGAATACCACGATTATGGAAGAGTGACGAAAGTGCAATAGAGGTGGGTCGGCAGCGAAAAGGTTGAACAGTGGAGGGTCAACGCAGTTTAATCAGAATTGCCTTGAGCTCTATTCGTGAGTGAAAATGGTGTCAAACTTATGACATTATCGTCAAACTTATTCAATTTAACTAGGGAAACAGGCAGTATTTATAACTTTGGGTACATAGCAGAATGTCACAGGAAAAGACTGATGAGAATCCGAAATAACATGGGGGCATACGAGAGTGTTAGGAAACTCGTTGCTCTTTCCATTTGATGCAGTAGTTGATAATCAGCATCGTATATCATGAAGCGGTGTATAGGGATGCAGATTTATGCATCCGATTGCCTTAACGCGCATACGCATGCATGCGCTCGCTTAATGCAGGGATATACACACACACATATGTTGACAATAGCTACTTATTGTAAGGATATACTCTATAAGTCAGGATAGAGGCCTGTCAATCAGGTAGGAGAAACGGGGCCAAGTCAATAGTGTGAGATAGTCAAAGACTGTTTATTGAGGATCGTAAAACCTCTTCAACATAGGTCAATTTATATACAGTCTCATCGCTCAAACAGGAAGGAGATATATCCTTAGTAGGGAAATAGGAGCGGGGTGAAACACGAGGCTTATATAACCTCTATTAAGGGTGTTCCCTGCAGGAGTTCGTTCACATACTGATAACGAAGCCCTAGCGAACCTCCACAGAAAGCCTGCCGGCTTATCAGGTCCGGGAAGCCTAAGGCACTAACACTTAGGAATAACCTTATACTAGGGTATATCATAGCAATTATCCTCCCTCTAAGGATCGCTTGCCCTTAAGCGAGGTAAACAGACGCGTAAACAATTATAAAAAGTAGCAGTTAAATAAGGAAGGAGCGTATAGGCTGAAAAAAGGGAAGGTCAATACTAGGGGGGTTGCCTGGTAAAGGGGCAAACAAAAAAACGCGTTTCTTTGTTGATATCGCTAATATTACCCTCTTCCTTTCCTTCTTCCTCTCTTATCCTCTTCTATCCCCTTTTCTATATACCTTATTAAGACGCACCCTTTCGCTATCGTTTCCCTATCTATTCGCTCTCGAAAACCTTATAATACCTCCTAGAACCTGCACTACTACTTGTCCTCTTCTAGACAATCTAGTTTTTATAATAATTCTCTAGTGTATATACTATTTACGTACTACGATCGCTAAGTAGGACGTAACTCTAGGCTTACCTTTCGCTATTAAGTGTATTCGCGATATTAAGGCTTTAGTTTCGTGTAAATAGTGTTCCGGCTACCCTTCAATAAGAAAGGTAGGCCCTCCCGGTCGCACCCTATCAAAAAATATTTAGAGTTTAGGCAATTTACGATTAAGTCGTACGGCTGCTATAAGGAACTGTAATAGCTAAAATTTAAACTAGGTGTTGATTAAAGATAAACTTAGAACTCCTAAAATTTTCAAGTAAATCGTACGAGGGAAATCCAGGGTATTCAGGGTAGGAAAACCGAGAGCATTGAGGGTGGTAGGTCCGAATTCTGCCCATACATAAGGCCTCCACACCGCCAAGCATTGACCCTCAATGCCCTAGGTCCCTTGGGATAGGGTGCCCCCGCTACTACACTGCCCCCGGTAGGAGGGTGCCCCCCTAGTAGGGCCCCCTGTAAGGATTATATAGACTCCCTACCTAGTTTACTTTACTAAGGATATAATACTAAATCCTTCGATTGCTCAGGAACTACTAAACGTAATAGGCCACTAATAGTATCAATATGATGCCCGAAGCGAGGGCTATCTAGCTATAATAATCTTGATTTAGTCAGCAGTCAAAAAATCCTAAACCTATTCAACCTCATTTTCACTAAGGCCCGTGGGCAGTCACGTGACGGGGATAGCCTAATATACTAGAAGGGCCCTTCACCTACCTAGTATTTATTCCCCGGGTAGAATCGCATAGCTAGATAGCTAGATATCGCTAAGTAGGCTGGCCAGCAACTGGCGAATCAAGACCACTACGGACTGATTGCTAAGGCCACGGATCTAGGCTTGGCAACCCTAGCAATCTAGCTAGCCGAATCGGGTATAGCCTACCCGCCGGCCCTAGCCTTGGCATCCCCTATCAAAAAAATACTAGCCAAAAGGCCCCCCTTAGGGTAAGGCCCTTCTACGTGATAATCCTGGAATATTATTTGACATTTAGATAGATCTAACGATTCAATTAAAAGATTCCAACAACCCGATCAGGAGGTGGCAGTATTTCGGGTGGTTAGGGGGGGTATCGTATAACTCCAATACCCCCCTTGCCCCACTTTCTTAACTATGAGTCCCCCCCCGGTGTTGGGTCGGAATACCTTTACATGGTTCCGTTGGGGGGGGGACAGTGTAACCTTCCTCCAGCCTCCAGTAAGCAAACATCATCCAAATCCTGAGAATTTTGCCCGGGAATCCGGGTCTGGCGTTGAATGGGCTGTTGCACTTCCTTTTCGTTGTTTTTGGGCACAACGTAGACGGCCAAGTTGGAATTTGCGGTAGTAGAGCCAATTCTATGACAGGTAATGAGTCTGGTGTCTTCAAAAGAATTGAAAAGATCATTGAAGAGCTACTGACCAGAAGCCATAAAGGTAGAAATCCAACGAGGAAGCGGATAGTCCATGCCATATTGCCCTCCCAAATTTCGGAGTGAGTTCGTTTGCTCATCAATTTTTCCACCACAGACCTAGCATATGTCCCCGTCTCCATGCCATTCTTGTTACCTTGATACTTCATAGTTTCAATAATCTCTTTGATTGGAAGGTAGAAAGAGCCCTCGGGAGCAACGAGCCCATGGTGAAGAATGTTGCTGCGGACAAACCCAGTCACAATTTCAATAACATCTATATTGAAAGGCGCAAGTTCCTGGAGATATCAGAATCCACCATTAATTCGATTTGAGCATGAGCCTTACAAGTCGCAGAGTTTTGGTGTACTGGCTGAGAGCAGCTTTGGAAGCATTGTACGCACACTGCCACACGACCGGTACGTCCCGGGTCACACTACCAATTTGCACTATACGCCCCCGATGCGAGCGGCGAAGAAGTGGTATAAATAGCTGGCACAGACGCATAACAGAGAATACGTTGACCTGAAACACCTTTACTGCCTCTTCCAACTCCAGGTCCATTGCTGTTGCTGCATAATGAGTGCCCGCATTGTTCACTAGGAAATCAAGATGACCGCCCGTCCGTATAGCCACAGCATCTCGGAGCCTCTCAATGCTACCAGCGTCACCCAGCTCCAATGGAAATGCCTCAATGTTCTTGTATTGGCTTGTCAACTCCTGAAGGTGGTCCACACATCTTGCTGTGGCCAGAACTGTCACTCCTCGGGCCGCAAAGCATATTGCGAGTTGTGTTCCAATGCCACTTCTGCAGCCTGTGATGAGAGCGAAGCTAGTTTGCTGTACCATAATGGAGAATGATGACGAGCAGCAAGAAAATCTAGGAAGAAAGAAGTAAGTAAGAAAGAAAAGGGCCAGTAAAAAGAGAAAGTCTCCTGCTCCCAGTGGCTTTCACCTTGTTAAATAGCGGAGAGGATCTACAAAACTGGTAGAGCCGAGGCATTCGCTCAGGCAAGGAAAGATAGAACTCGGCCTGCCAATCAACACTTGGTAATTATTCCTCCGAACCGGTATGAGAAAGCTTTTTGAGCAGTCTCGTGAACTCAGACTCTCGCACGAGGTGCAGTGCCCAGAAGCTGAAGAGGAAATGGAGGCCGTCGAGTCTATCGGAAAGATTCCTCTGAAAGGTTCTTCCGAAGATCCCTCCGAAGAAATTCTTCGGAAGGCTCCTTTGATCCGTCCACCTGAAAACGACACACCTCCGACTTGGGTCCCGAGGCAACATCGAGATTCAGATAGATGCCTCCGAGCGTGCTGTGTGATCTCCGTTCATATTGTGAAGAACCGGGATTCCGGTCATTGTTGCTTCGATCTTCAAATTGTGGTGGCTGCTCTCGCGATCTTCCTGATTTCGAGAGTGACATCGTCTTTTTAGCCCTATTAATCCGTGCGGAGGTATACGCGCCACATATACATATTATCTGACGCAGATGAATCTAGCGGGCCTCTTCGGCCCACATCAGTTTTGAATGCACTCTAACCAAGCCGTGCTCGTGAAATTTTTATGAGCCAAAAGTGGATAGGTAAACGATACTTTGTCCTGCCGCTGTGTTTCATGGCCCCGGGGTGACCAAGGGATTTCAACGAGAGGCTGTCCACAAAGGATCGACGAGATTTGTATAATTGGATTTTTTTTTTCAATTCTGCTATACTTTGACCGAATTCGGTATTTGCAGGTAGACAGGTAGACGGAAGCGAAAGTAGTGCTCCCATTGGGCGCAGACAGGCGCTTCTCAATATCATGTTCGTCCGCGGAACAACTCGTGAGCTCAGTTCTGTCATGCCCAGCCAATAGATTCCTACTGCACCCCATTGGCTGGGGAAAGTCCCGAACTTGTCAAAGATTGTGAATGAACACGGCGTTGGCGTGATGGTGCACTCTGCTTCAAACGGCATGCGCAAAAAATGCTGTTTCAAAGTTGCGTCCCCCTCGGTGGGATGTAAGAACTGAAAGTGAAACACACAGACCTGAGAGATTATCTATCTCTTTAAAAACACCATGCTCACTCAAGGCAGAAGCATAGGGAAAAAGAATGACGATCGAAGGCCCAAGAAAGCTGTTTCGGAAGGATCTGTGAAGCGACGAGCAGCGGGAGCGTGCATCACTTGCCGCGCTCGTAGAGTCCGATGCGATGTACAAGAAACAGGCCCATCATGTTCACGCTGCATTCACCATCGATTAGAATGTGTCTTCAGTGAGCCAAAAGGCAAGAGGTCTGCCACCCTGCTGTCTGCCAACCTGCTTTTCTTCCCTTGTCACCGTCTTCCCAAATCTGCTTCACATTACAAACCTGGCATAGGGATGCTGACTGGAAGATTTCTTTAGTAGACGCAAGATTGGCCGTGCGTCCGGAGAACCGCATACCCTTTCGGGGTATACCATTTCCGAGGAAACCAATTCTCCCAATAGGGGAGACGAATCCCAACCCTCGGAACTACCACCTCCGCGTCTCAGCCTCAGTGACGGCTATATAGAGAATCAATCTTACGCAGAACCAGGTTTGTCAAATCTTACTAGCAGTTCGGCGCGAATAACGTTCTCATTGAGGTTTCAGGCATAAATACGTATGTGAGTGATGATTGCAAGGCAAATACGGACAAAAAGTCTACAAACTCGTTCCCTAGTCCGCCAACTAAGAGTACCGAAGCGATAGAATACTTACATTTCCGGGAGAGCGATGTCGAACACCATTCTCTGCCGAGCTATATCCGCAATCCTCCGGACCATCTTGCGAATGTTGATATGAGTTACCTTGACAGGAAGGATGCTCTGACCTAACTATCAGATATCTGGCTACTTAGTGACAGCCAGATAGCTCTGCCGTAGTCAGATATCTGGCAGGTTTCTGTCCCCCAGACATCTGCCAGATATCCAACCGCTCTCTACCACGAGTATCACCACTAGCCACTCACCTTAAGCCGAAAACTGTTTGAAACTTTCAAAAAATTGCTAGATATGTGAGCCTGTCAGTTACCTGATAGATATCTGATAGATATTTGATGAAATTCGATGATTTGGGGATAAAACCTACCGTGGGTCAATAGCAAGGGGGGGTGGGAGAGATGTGGAGGACGGAAAGTTACAAGTGGCGTTGTATGCCAAGGTATTCAGTGTGGGGTCGCCAAAACTGCCTGATTACCAGATTAGGCTTAGTGAATACAAGATCTCGACAGTGGATCCCCAAGGTCTCGGCCTGAGCTGAACACTGCATAGGTTCAATATCATCCAAGTTTCCTGCTACTGCTTCACATTAAGAGATGTTACCGATAACCAGTGGGTTGCCCAGGAGATTGACGAGGAGATTTACTAGGGGGTTGAGCAGAAGGGTGCATCTCGACGAGGTATATCAAGCAGCTCGATAATCTCGCTTCCAAGGACTCGAAAGCGGTACCAATTGAATACCGAGGATCATGAACGTATGCAGGCGTCTGGGCCAACCCTGCAGTCCTGGTCGCGATCGCAGAATTGAGGGGTAGAGGGATAGGAGGATCGGTGGATGGGGAGGGGTAGTTCCATATTAGAGTGCTGTTATAATTGATTTTGATTGAGAAGCTCTCATTGGCCAGTTAATTTACATCGTGTCGTGGAAAAGTGGAGAGATACATTACAGTGACATGGGATTGGTCCAAATCTAACCCACATTTCCTATGGGTCTGTCTGTATGTAATATGCGGGTAACACCTCGAGATCGGTATTGTCACTCGAATTATTTACACCGCCATGGGACAGCTCAACCTACTCCTATTCCATTCGTTCTAGTTTCCTTCTTCAATCAATATCTTTACCTGATGGTTCCGGTAGCTCTCATTGGTCCATATGCATACTAGTCTATACCGATTCAGCTCGATTTCTAGCATTAAATTGCACTTACAGAAGGTTGAATAGGAAGATGCGTATGGTATGGGGAATCAGAATGGTAGATTAGGTGTCAAAGCGAGCTGACCGAGTTAACCCTATAATCTGCCGTAGACGGCATGCCATATCGAGCGAGGAGCTGCAGACGAGCATCGGCCGGGGAGCCGTCGGGTCTTGGAAAAGCACTTGCCAGTTCCTGAAACGAACTTGGTGGTCTCGTTGACGGGTTGTAAGGCCTTTGCGAAGAGGTAATGGCACGTGGTGCTTACTGTGCAGGTTGGGTTACCCGCGAACCGCGTGGGCATATTGCACAGCGGCATCACTGGCAAAGGATGAGATTCTGCGACTGCTCCCAAATGAGGCCACATGCTTCAAACACGTCGTCGATAGACTTCGGACTTGCCATCGCTGGCGACTGGGGTTGGGGACTGAAGTACAACGCATATCCACCAGGCGCGGCCAGGGGTAAACGCACACAGGGTACAGGAGCATCAATATCCTACACTCGCAAGGATGGCACACGGTGTATTTACTATCCCGGCTAGCGGCGCTGGTGTAGAGCACCCCTTTAACTCTGCTCGTGACGCCTACCACTATCGAACGGTTCGTCTCAATGAGACCGCTGTACAAGACCTAATGATGTATCGCTGTATCTCCAAGTCTGAAGTTGATACAACAAATCTTGCAGCTGGATCCGGTGAGGGGGAAGAGCTACCGACGAAGAGAGACAGCAAGCAGCGCTACGAAGAGAAGAAAGACCAGGTCAACCTACCCGGTTCCTATTAGCGATAATGAAGAGGATAATGATAGAGACGGAGATGAAGGTGACGGTGAAGGTGAGAGTCTAGATAAGATATGTGAGGTAAACTACGCACCTCTCGATATCTATGTACCGCCCGCTGCTTACCAACCTAGCCAGCGAGCTCTAGGATAGAGGCGAAAGAGTGTGGGTTCTTCTGGGGAAGAAGAAGATGAGACTGAACCTTAACTACCCCCTCTGCTACAGGATAAGGAGGGCTACAGTCAAATGCAGACTCCTGGAAGAGCATGGAAACTTCCAAGAAACCTAGGTGACTACGATGTAGCCTACAAAGAAATTTACATTTCCCGTCTTCTATTGCGGCTCCATCGAGGATTTATAGAGCTATCTAGAGTAATATGTATGTTACAAACTTTTCGTCCATGAAGCTATTCCGACCGACAGGAATCCGGTACCTGAACGTCATGCTTTCGCTCAGGAACCAGCGTTGAGAACTTCAAAGATCGACAGCGTGATCAAGCCCCCGCCTGCATCTCAACCACACCGCACACCTCCCCATTCCTGCATACTTCCCGTCCTCATGCTTGACCCCTCGTTCTTTATTCCCAACAGTCAGGACAGAGGAGTGAAGGGATAATGGGAATCCGCAGAAGAGTCGTGTATTTAAGAGAATGTTTGGTTTTGACTTCTTGGGCGTTCCCCAAGAAACAGTCTTGCCTCAATTGACTTGTTGCCTTCTCCCTTACTTGACTTGTTGCCTTCTCCCTTACCTGACTGACAGTCCCTCTATCCTGCAAGTAGACCTTATCTTAACATGGTAAGTGTAATACTCAAAGCTACTAGGAAAAGCGCATAACTTATGCCAGTTGCAGATTTTAACTGGCACTGTTTACCCGTAGGAGTCCCACGAACATTTAAGTCCCACCCATGGCGCTAAAGGGTAGTCCCAACTCCCGCCCACGGCGGGAAGTCCCAGGTCCCACAGTCAGAGTCCCGTGGGAGATGCCAATGTCCAAAATAATCCATAGGCTATCGCACTAGAGATAGGGTCCACTATACTTTAAGGGTTGAGCGTCTGGCAAGATAAGAAAGATAATGAGCGTACAGTTTGTAGTAGAAGGGAAGAAGAGCCACCAATGCTGGTTTTCATATTACGTCAAGCGACGCGAGGCAAGCGAATAAAGTGCACCACAGATTAATATTTAAAGCTCTTCAACCTAGGGGGCACAGCATTTCCCACTTCCAAGTCTATTGGTCTTCTAAAAGCTCATGCAACATTCCTACTCTGAACAGAGATGTACCGTTATGCGAGTGCATGAAAACTGCCAGGTCAGCATAAGAGTTCCTAGTTCCTACATGTAGAATAAAAGAAATTTCAACGTAGAAAATATAATTTTTTGGGCCTAAGGAGCCAAAACCTAACATAAAGCCGCGGCTGTGAAACTTTTCTATGGTCAGGTCACAATATCAAAATTATTTGGCCTCAATCGAAAACGACTTGATGACGTTCATCCTTACCTCTCCTTCTTGAATCAACGGATATCGGAGTTCAAGAGAAGTAAGATTGGGCGTTGACAACGAAGAAAAGAATGATAATGCACTTGGTTTCAGCCGGCCCACCAGTTCCTCCCCTAATATTTCATAATCCTCACAATCGACCGCGCACGTATCTTCATCAAAATCTTTCCAGCTTTCCGGCTCAAGGTCAAGGGATATGATCATTTGTTCCAGGCGAGGGTACACCTCGTACGTTTTAAACAAATCTGGGCATATTTCACGCATGCGAAGTTTGAAAATCTTCGTATCTGGGAAATTGAACCGGATCAGATCACATCCATGTACTGGACTAAAAGAAAAACCATGCATTTTCGACCTCGTTTCGAGAGGGGCCCCAGGCATATCAATCGTAAGAGAATTGAGTTGACAAGTAGAGATTCTCTTGAGGAGGTATTCGAAAGTTGCAGCGAAGACGGTATCCCACGAATAGGCAGTCTCAGCATAGTTAGAGAAATTCAATGATTTTAGTGCCGGCAAGGAGGGGATTATATCGGCGACTTGCCGGAGCGACGAATTGAGTCTTTGGCCGAGACTGACGGATCCGCGAATTGCTTGATGATTTCCGATTTGAGGTTGCCTTTCCAGAACAATAGTGAGATCTTCCGTATTTTCGGTCATGAGGATGAACAGATTCTTGGGTAGCCTGTTGATATCGAGCACTTTCTTCGTGGAAAGTCGGACTGATCTCCATTGGCGGCTGACCAATGACAGGTACCAAAATTTGCAAACAAGTAGAGAAGACAAGGTTGAGTCAATATGACCTAGGATCATATCGACAATTTCTGCAGGAAGTGAGTTCCAACAAGCCTTTTTTGGTCGACCCTCTTCCGCCGGAATGTCACATTCGTTTCCATCAGCGGATTTTAGAAACAAGAGGAAGGAACTATTCCGTTGCATTTCTGCATCACTCGAATCTTGGCCTCGCAAAAAGCAAAGAGCTACGAGGCCAGCTAATCTTATTTATGCGATCAATAGCGGTTAGGCTTAGGGTTTAGGCTTAGGCTTAGGGTTTAGGGTTT